AACTCAAAATGTAATACATTTCAACTCTGTAGCTGACATGGTACAGGTGTCTTATTTTTTGTAAACCATGTGTGTGACGTGTATACTTTTGTTTCAAAGTAGATTTGTTTAAGACTACCAAGAAACACTGTGTGACCCTTGTTTAGCACACTGCAGTAAAAGGTTGCAGCAGAAAGATTCTATCATATCAACTCAGAGCAAGTCTTGACCATTACTAGCTCATCAAAGTGACTAGCTAACCAAAGTATGCCAGTCTGCTTTTGGCATCAGCCTCCATTGTTTGGTCAATCCCAAGGCCTAAGAAAGTTTTTTTCATTGGACGAGTGAGTCACCATCAACCACATCCGTTTCTGCCGGGACCATACTTAGCACAACAGTAGGGAAAGGAGCTCTGAGCTGGCATACTTCAGAGGTGAAATATGAATGTTAACAGACATAAAAGAAACCACAAAAAAAAAGACGTCTGAGATTGAAAACCTCAATGTTAAAGGAAGTGACCTATACTAAACCAAATCTGACTCAGCTGTAGCTAAGCACTTTACCCCTACTTCCTAGGAAATGGAAACACAACTTGCTTCAAAGGAATTATTGGATATGTGATATGCACCATGCAGTTTAGAAATAACTCTGAATAATAAACTGAGTAGGATCCTGTGGTTGGTGCCACTGTAGAGTTTGCTAGTCATATTAAAAAACCTATGTCATACACTGAGTGTACAAAACATTAGGAACATCTGCTCTTTCGATGACATAGACTGAATCCAGGTGAAAGTAATGACCCCTTTTTGATGTCACTTGGTAAATTCACCTCAATCAGTGTACATGAAGATGAGGAGACAGGTTAAAACATGATTTTTTAGCCTTGAGACAATTGATAGTTGGATTGTGTGTGTGGCATTCAGAGGATGAATGGGCAAGACAAACAAATTTAAGTGCCTTTGAACAAGGTATGGTAGTAGGTGCCAGGCGCACCCGTTTGAATGTGTCAAGAAGAGCAACACTGCTGGGTTTTTCACTCTCAAAAGTTTCCTATGTGTATCAACAATGGTCCACCATCCAAAGGACATCCAGCCAACTTGACACAATTGTGGGAAGCATTGGAGTCAACATGGGCTTGCATCCCTGTGGAATGCTTTCAACACCTTTTAGAGTCCATGCCCAGACGAATTGAGGCTGTTCTGAGGGCAAAAGGGGGTGCAACTCAATATTAGGAAGGTGTTCCTAATGTTTTGTTTCCTAATGAGGAGGAACTATAAAGTTGTAATAATTAATATATCTGATATAAGACTTGCAATAAGCAAACACAGAGCAGTTACCAGTTACAAAACAAGGAATAATTACCTCAACCGTCCCTGAGCGGGAACAGACTCAAAGCTGAATAATAGACTATTGTTGTCCACTCCCAGAGGCTAAATTCTTGGGAGGATTTGAGACCTATGCTTCAATTTGAACTCCCCCTTTTTGAATTAACTGCCAAAGGCTCTGTAGGCATGGGGTTGTGTGCACACTCCAGACTTTGAGCCCAGACCCATCACCCCACCCAACAATTATATTTTTATTTCATTGTATTCCGTGGAAGGACTTCCCAGCCAACTACTGTCTAATTAGGCTGAACTCATGATGCGTGTCCAGTCCACCTGTTTGGCTGAGCACAACTGGCTCCCTGGACTATAATTCCCAGTGGGGCTGAGCACAACCGGCTCCCTGAACTACAATTCCCAGTCGGGCTGAGCACAACCGTCTCTCTGAACTACAATTCCCAGTTGAGATTAACATAACCGTCTCCCCGAACTACAGTTCCCAGTGGGGCACAAAGCATGATCAAAATCATTAGCCAGCTACAGTAAGTTTGAGAAATAGTTTGATAGATTCCTTGGGTCAAATTAACCAGTTATCTACCTTTCATAAGCAGCTAGCTAGCTATAGCTAGCTGATAGCTTACTAGCTATTTAGCTCCCATACCAATACCAAGTCTTTCTATGCTAATATCTAACTCAGAAATATGAAGTTATTTCAGAATGAAAGTTAACTGGCTAGCGCATATCATGCTTTGTGACATTATGTTAGGTAGCTATCCCCAGGTAGATAATGTATTTTAACTTATTGTATCTTCATGCTGCTTGTTGCATTCTCCCTGGTGCACTCGTTCATTCGTGAGCTGGCTGCTCATTCTAAATAGTATAATCTAATCTGTTCAAAACAGTGGCAACATGTGCAACAGTGGTCATTCGGCTTTTGACATGCAAAAGTGAAATAGCATGCAAAAAAACATGCTGTTTTGTTGACAACTCCAACCACCTCGCGACCCGGTTATTCAGCCAATCAGCGGCCGCCACTGTGACTGACGTGTTTGTGACAGCAGCATCCTGATATGTTATGTGCATGATAGCTGGAGCAGTAGTTAGTGTGACACCCCTCCATCTCTCCTCCTCTCACACATTTTTTTATTCTCACACCTACTTCCCACAGGTCCCTGGTGACCAGTATACATGCACATCCCCTGAGGGCAGAGCCATGATGGGCTGAGTGTCCTACCTCTCACTAGGTCAGCTAGCTCCTCTCTGGACTGTTATACACTCCAGAACCAGGCAGATAACAGCTGGCTGTAGCTGATTGATATGGCCTTGATGACCTTTTGACCTTGATTTGGTGAGGAGGACATAAGAAGAGATATACTAAATATCTGTTTTATGCCCTCTGGATATTGACCAGAAAACTCAAGTCACTATTCGTATTTACTGTAAACAAACATTTACAGGAGGCTGAAGAAATTTGGCTTAACACCTAAAACCCTCACAAACTTTTACAGATGCACAATTGAGAGCATCCTGTCGGGCTGGTATCACCGCCTGGTACGGCAACTGCACCGCCCACAACCGCAGGGCTCTCCAGAGGGTGGTGCGGTCCGCCGAACACATTACCGGGGGCAAACTATCCGCCCTCCAAGACACATACAGCACCCGATGTCACAGGAAGGCCAAAAAGATCATCAAGGACATCAACCACCCAAGCCACTGCCTGTTCACCCCTCTATCATCCAGAAGGCGAGGTCAGTACAGGTGCATCAAAGCTGGGACCGAGAGAATGAACAACAGCTTCTATCTCAAGGCCATCAGACTGTTAAATAGCCATCACTAGCACATTAGAGGCTGCTGCTGCCTATTGAAATCACTGGCCACTTTAAGAAATGGAACACTAGTCACTTTAATAATGTTTACATATCTTGCACTACTCATCTCATATGTATATACTGCATTCTATTCTATAATATTCTACTGTATCTTAGTCCATGCCGCTCTGTCATTGCTTGTCCATATATGTATATATTCTTAAATTCCATTCCTTACTAGTTTTGTGTGTATTGGGTATATGTTGTGAAATTGTTAGATATTACTTGTTAGATATTACTGCACTGTCAGAGCTAGAAGCACAAGCATTTCGCTACACCCGCTATAACATCTGCTAAACACGTGTATGTGACAAATAAAATGTGATTTGATTTGACAACAAACTGATATGAAATTAAGTGTTGAATACGTATTCCTCCTCTTGGTAGAAAAAGGTACAATCAAAAAATGTTGGTCAATAGCTACTTTTTATTCATAAGAAACAATGCTGAGTTTGAGGAATAAACAAATAAATAAAGAGACAATCGTCAGCTCCAAAATTAGCATTTTATTCAGATGGTTGGGGTCAGAGATGTATCATTTGTATTCCAGTACATACGATTATCCACAAAGCTTCAGACAAAAACCTTTCCCAGTCTTAAAGCTGATTCAGTAATTAGTGCCAACGGTGGGTGCCACAACACCCCACTCACACCCTTTTTTTTTGGTACAAATTCAAACAGTTGTGCTGACAAGATAGCTATTTTTTCATTTGTTTTGTTCAGATGTTTTTCTTTATTTTATACAAAAGACTCTCTTAACCTAACTTCTACACATGTAATGTCAGCCGGTTGAAATTTATCTGCTTTGTAAATACATTTTGTAAATAACATTTTTTCATTATTTTTGTTGTCGTGAAAAGATAAAAACATGCAAAAACTTTAATTTGTAGTCCAAATTATACATTTACAAGTTCAGAACTTTTTGCACTGCTTCATAGACTACATCAAAAAAAAAAAGAAACATTATGTACAAACATTTTCTTTACAGTGAAGAAAAAGTTGAAGGTACCAGATGATGACCAAGGCAAATGAAGTGTACATGGATTAGAATAAAATAAACAGTTGCTGTTTTTGTAAAATACTACACCACTTCAGAAAAAAAGGAAAAAAATGTATTCCGCTACAAAAGTATCATTTATGACTCCCTTTATTTGCAACCAGCTGCATAAGTTAAATGTTTTAGTGAAAAAAGTCAAAAATTCTAGCATACTGTACAGTGCTGTTCTCAATTGTTTCTCCCCATCCAAGTTAACAAAGGATCCTTCATCATCTCTTGCTCTTGGTAATTCACTTAAATAATCATTGTTCAACAAACAGCAGTATTGTGTAACCAAAAAAAGCATGTAGAAGCATACCATAGTTTAACATACTTTATGTTTTGAAAGCACTCCAAAAGTCAGTACCATTAAAGCCTTGAACATAAAACTAATCATTCAGATCCCAAAAAATGTACAAAAAGGCACATTATATCCCAGTGCTTCTGTACTGTGAAATTCAAGTGTAACTGAGCGCTCTCAATATCAACGATCCAAACAGTGACAGTTCTCCAATGTTCCCTCCCCTTCTCCAAAACTGGACCACACTTAAGCCTTCAACAAGCATATGTATGCGTAGACTACAACAATAAGCATAGGTTGGTTGTTTTTGGAAAATATTTTGAAATTATGCTGTAATTTTTTGTACTTTTCTGTCATTGTTCCTGTCACCACTCTTTCAGGGGAATATCGGTAATCAGAAGCTGTCCACGTCCATCGAGAGGAAAACAAAATATATTTTCTATTTTCCTGGGTTCACCATTCTTTGTCATCTTGTTTTTTGTAGGCCTTGTCTCCTAGTCGTCGCTCCCTCCGTACATGTCTGCCAGTTTTCTGAAGCGAGGGCCCCAGTCGTTGAGGTAATCGTAGTCCTGGTCCCCTCCACTGCTGGAGGAGTTGAGGGAGCTTAGGGAGCCGGCTGTGGAACCACTGCCCTCGTAGTCGAACACCAGCAGGGAGTCGTAGGGCGGGGCTGTGGGGTCGTTGTCTGCCGCCTTAAGTCCCTGGACAGACAGGATGAAATAAAATAACACGGTTAGAGGAGTGAGGAGATTAAGGCCTGCCAGTCCACCACGACAGACCCAGACCCTGTCTGACTACAGCTACAAGATGCCATTCTTATCCCCCACTTCCACCTAAACAGGCTAATTTTAGACACATTTCTTTCATGTTTTCCTCCCTTCTGCATGATCAGAAAATCAGGTCCGGCTCTAACTGTCTGTCTGCAGCACAGCATTTTGGCTGTGATTCTCCCTGATGTTTCTGGCATTCAGGATTATCCAGAACTTGATCAAATGCTGAGATTGAGCATGACCAAATGCCTCAGCTCACTGGAAGGCTGCCACTGATGAGCTAGCCCTCCATCCTCAACCCTCCTTTACTCCCATCTCCACGGGTGCTGCCTGAGGGGCTTGGAGCGCTGACAGGAGGAGATCACTGTAGTGGCACTGACAATATGCCAGCTATCGCCACCACATTCTGGACCATGATGTAGTACTACATACCCACTTCATTTAATGTGTTCCAAAACTATGAATGAGCACTGGGGAATGGTGAAGAAGTGCAGAGCAGCGTGTGTGTGTGTGTGTATGTGTGTGTGCGAGTGCATGTATGTATTTGTTCCAGTGCGTGTGTTCCAGAGGGTAGGGTGGGAATGGGGGGGGGGTTAACATTCCCAGAAACTCTCATAGCTGCGTGAGATGTCCTTATGGGTTGATATTGTTTTCCAAGCCCATTCCTGGATAGATTGCTTATCTAGCATTGGAGATGTGCTCTGGCCATGAACCGAATTGGGCCCAGGCCCGAATCCAATCTCTTATGACTGCCACTGAGGAAATCTAACAAATAATAACTAAATTAAAAGAAACCGAGCACAACACAGAGACACAACCGAGACATTAGGCTCATTGGAAACATGTCAGAGATGTATTGGAGCTCTTCCACTTTGTTATTACAACACTGCTACCACTTTCTCTCTCTTTCTCTGTCTCTCTCTCTCTCTTTCTCTTTCTCTCTCTTTCTCTCTCTTTCTCTGTCTCTCTCTCTGTCTCTCTCTCTGTCTCTCTCTCTGTCTCTCTCTCTGTCTCTCTCTCTGTCTCGGTCTCTCTCTCGAAAAAAGAATAGATTGAAACAAAGTGCCTCGACGCGTAGTGATTATTTTCCACTTGTTAGCCTTCGCTAAATGTTTGCTCAGGGCTGTAGCGCTGATAATTTGGTGGGAAATATGACAGAGGGATCGTTCATTACAATTACAGCGATCACTGGTCCGGTGGATAGAGCCCCATCCGGCATTACCACCACCCTACTGGCAGTGTGACAAAGTAAGCCAATCACAGAGCTTCATCCTCCTAATTCCACTAAGATTGAATCATCCACTGTGTGAGAGAGACAATGGTCCATCTTAAGAAAACATTGTGCTGTCCTGTCCTTCTTTATCTACCCTGACTTCCCCCGCTGTTCCACTGGTCACAATACAGGTCTCTGATTGAATTGAATAAACATCCTATTCAGAGATTTGCAGTAGCAAGTTTCTCTGTTCATTTCACCAGTTGAAATGTTGAATTGAAAAATGTTCCTCCCAATAACACTATCCAAATCTTTAATCTAAAACTGTGTGTGAACTTTTCATCCAGCATCTGTGGCCAACAAAAGGTGATGTCCGGTGAGGCTGATTTCCCAGACATTACCTCCCTGAGCGGGAACAGACTCAAAGCTGAATAATAAACTATTGTTGTCCACTCCCAGAGGCTAAATTCTTGGGAGGATTTGAGACCTATGCTTCAATTTGAACTCCCCCTTTTTGAATTAACTGCCAAAGGCTCTGTAGGCATGGGGTTGTGTGCACACTCCAGACTTTGAGCCCAGACCCATCACCCCACCCTCACCCCCCTCCACCCCCTATCCCTGGGCAGCCAGGTCAGATTCCAACCCCAATGACAACAAGGCATAAACTAGCTGCCAGCAGGGTGTAGTGTATAGAATCTACCATGACCGCCTGTGTGTGTGTTTGTGTGTTTGTGTGTTATGGGAAACAGGCTGACATGTACTGCCTGTAATGTGGATGTCTGGGTCAGGATACTCCGGCCCACAAAGAACACATAAAACAGCAGACTTTTCTCTGCTCCAAGAAGTTGCTCAGTTTCGCAACTTTTTTTTACACACTGGACAAAACACTCAAACTCACTCTATATAAATTGAGCTGACATGAGCATTACGTGTATTCAGGACTTTTCTGAGAGAGTGAGAGAGCGAAGGAGGGGGAATGGGAGAGATATAGCGTGAGTAGGGGAAGCTGAGCTGAAAGGGCACGTTCTAATCTAAAAACATGGGAATAGGCCAAAAACTGGGAGAGGGAGAGAACTCCCTTTGTAATACTGTGAAAGTATTGTCTGTTGGAGCTGGTGAAGAATATATGACTGTCTTTTTCATTATAAATTCCCTCGCTGGACTCAATGGTGGCCTGAGGCAAGCGAGGCCATGTTGAACAGAACAGGGTGCCTCTATGGAAAGCCAATGTGCTTCTCTCTTTCTCATCCCACTAGATATCTACAGAGTGACGTCTAAAGCTATAACTCCATCCCATGCTGCACGGCTAAGATAAACGTGAACTCTCTTTGTATCCTCATAATATTATAATTACATGTGTGGATTTAGCTCATTTAAATTGGACACATTATAAATAGTGAAGTTTTATCAGAGAACAAAAAAAGTGAGTATCTCAATAACCAGGTTTCCATCCAACCTTTTTATGTAAGTAAAGTACATGACGGATAAAAAATGTCATGACAGGCCTGATGGAAACAGAAACAATTTTTGGTAAACTTTCCAAATAATTTCGACAAAACAACGCTAGACAAGGTGGGATCTTTTTATGTCAGTCAAATTAATTAATGTGAGAAATGTCAGTGGAAACACTTTTCTGCGCAAATATCGATATAATAACCATCATATCAAAGAACATTTGGAGTCACATGATGAGATGTTTTGTGGTCCTCCAACTACGACTTGTCGGGAAAGCATGCAGTTTATTAGGCTACAGATTAAATAAAGTATGATGAACTTCACAGGGTGGTGAAAGTGCAAGGTGATGTGGTCCTCTGTAGCTCAGCTGGTAGAGCACGGCGCTTGTAACGCCAGGGTAGTGGGTTCGATCCCCGGGACCACCCATACACAAAAATGTATGCACGCATGACTGTAAGTCGCTTTGGATAAAAGCGTCTGCTAAATGGCATATTATTATTATTATTTATGAGCTTGATGCTCCTTTCCAATAAATATTGAGGGTCTTATTCTGGTGACCTGATAATTGATGCTTGGTTGACGTTTGACAAATACAAATAATCTTGCTCTTTTGTCCATAATAATAATCTCATCATGTAGGCTATATGTGGACTCTATCTGCACTCTATCTGCGCTGTTGGCTAGAGCGCATGTGCCAATACCAGAGTGGACACACTTTATAATGCAACATTTCTTGTGAGAAAACCATCAATAGAGTTGAAAATGCGATGGAAACCCATTTAACTTGTATTTTTTATTCGGTACATTGGGAATTTAACCGCAAAAGGTATTTTTATGTGCACTACATCATCACGCACAGCCTTTTATCTGCAACAAGTCAATCTGATGGAAACACATCTCTGGTGGGAAAATGTAAGTTGTTTTTATGCAGATTTTAGAATATTTGCATGACAATTGAATTAAATAATTATCTGAATCCTCCTGATCTTGCCATTGACAATGGACTTTGAGAGGGAGGCGATTTCCTCTCCCTGTTGCATTACTCTAGATGTTTGTTTGTTTACCTCGTTGATGAAGTCTCCGATGTCCCCTGGGTGTGGGGCTGCTGACCTTATGGGGTACTGGGGCTCGGGGTGCAGCGGCCTCTCGTCCATACGCCGGATCCCCACGGGCTTGATGGCATCAGGCTCTATCGTGTCGGGCTGCTGGAGCTGGCTCAGGTCGTAATCCTGGAAGGGAGGGGGAGAGGAGAGACAGATGGGATTCAGCAAGGAGCCAGAGACAAGTGGATATCCTCACAGAGCTGGGGAGAGGAGCTTGGCATGGGCAGAACCCCCCAACCGGACCCAGACTCAGATCCATACACAACACAGGAGGTTGGTGGCACCTTAATTGGGGAGGACGGGCTCATGGTAATGGCTGGACCGGAATCAGTGGAATGGTATCAAATACATCAAACACATGGTCTACATAACGGTGCATTGTTGATACTGTTGCTACCTTGTATCATTAGAGCTAAGAAACCTATCAATGGGTGGACTTTAGACTGTTTGTAAACACCACTTAGACAGTTAGCTGCTTTTAACCAGATCCAGCGTCAGGGTTAAGGCTAAGAAACAGAGCATCAGTCGACAAGACAGTTGCAATAGAGAGGTGTTCTTCTGGAAGCGTGCGCAGGAAACTGTTCTGCTCTAATCAGGCCCCAGGCATGGAATAGCGGATATGCATAAGCCATTAATTATCCTATTAACATTGCCAAGGCAACCTGACTGGCTTGTTTGGTTTGTGCAGTGTCGAGAGAGAGAAAGAGAGAGAGAGAGAGAGAGAGAGTTGTGATGTGGATGAGAAGACAGCAGTGAGGAGCTGGACTGATATGCTATCAGAGAAGATATGATGGAGAGAATGCCATGGGAGAATAGCTGTGTGTTTAATAAGCGTGTATGATGGATTGTCCCTCAGCAGATCTTCAGTAATCCATCCATCTCTAATATCCCCCTTCAAAATTGTCCCTGCTCACTTGCACATATAACTATGCATATTTACACACACACACACACACACACGCACAGACAAACACATGCATGAACGCACACACATGCAAATCCTCCCAAACATTTGCATGATTAAAGATGGACCATATAAACACATACAGTGCCTTCAGAAAGTATTCACACCCCTTGACATTTTCAAAATGTTGTTGTGTTACAGCCTGAATTTAAAATGGATTACATTTAGATTATTTATTTTTTTACTGGCCTACACACAATACCACCTAATGTCAAATTAAAAATTAATTAAAAATGAAAAGCTGAAAAAAGTATTCAACCCTTATGTTATGGCAAACCTAAATAAATTCAGGAGTAAACATTTGCTTAACAAGTCACATAACAAGATGCATAGACTCACTCTGCGTGAAATAATAGTGTTTAACATGATTTTTGAATGACTACCTCATCTATGTACCCCACACATACAATTATCTGTAAGGTCCCTCAGTCGAGCAGTGAATGTCAAACACAGATTCAACCACAAAGACCAGAAAGGTTTTCCAATGCCTCGCAAAGAAGGACACCTATTGGTAGATGGGTAAAAAATACAAGTTATTAAAGTTATTAATTACACTTTGGATGGTGTATCAATACACCCAGTCACTACAAAGATACAGGCGTCCTTCCTAACTCAGTTGCCGGAGAGAAAGGAATCCGCTCAGGGATTTCACCATGAGGCCAATGGTGACTAAAACGGTTACAGAGTTTAATGGCTGTGATAGGAGAAAACCGAGGATGGATCAACAACATTGTAGTTATTCCACAATACTAACCTAATTGACAGAGGGAAAATAAGGAAGCCTGTACAGAATAAATATATTCCAAAACATGCATCCTGTTTGCAAGAAGGCACTAAAGCAATACTCCAAAGCAATTCACTTTTTGTCCTGAATACAAAGTGTTATGTTTGGGGCAGGCAAATCCAATACAACACATTACCGAGTACCACTCTCCATATTTTCAAGCATAGTGGTGGCTGCATCATGTTATGGGTATGCTTGTAATTGTTAAGGACTGGGGAGCTTTTCAGGATAAAAAAAGAAGCGGAATGGAGCTAAGCACAGGCAAAATCCTAGAGGAAAACCTGGTTCAGTCTGCTTTCCACCAGACACTGCGAGACTAATTCAGCTTTCAGCAGGACAATAACCTAAAATACAAGGGCAAATCTATACTGGAGTTGCTTACCAAGAAGACAGTGAATGTTCCTGAGTGGCCGAGTTACAGTTTTGACTTGAATCTACTTTAAAATCTATGGTAAGATCTGAAAATGGTTGTCTAGCGATGATCAACAACCAATTTTGAAAATAATAATGGGCAAATCCCCCCATTCCTTTCCTTTTTGGAAAGCTCTTAGAGACTTAGAAAGACTCTCTGCCAAAAGTGCTTCTACAAAGTATTGACTCATGGGTGTGAATACTTATGTAAATGAGATATTTCTGTATTTCATTTTCAATACATTTTCAATTATTCCTAAAAACATGTTTTAACTTTGTCATTATGGGGTATAGTGTGTATATGGGTGAGCATTTTTATTTATTTAATGTAACACAACAAAATGTGGAAGAAGTGAAGAGGTATGAATATTTTCTGACAAAACTATATATGAATAGACACAAACAAAGACACACAAAATGTTGTTCATATAAACACATGTATCATGTTTATTTTAATATAAACACATGTATCATGTTTATCTTAATATAAACATCCAAACACACAGATTGACAGTGCGTGTAAAACAACAATTCCATGGCGAATAACCATTTCCCCTCGCATTGGCTGGAAGGGGACAATGGCCGTTACACATCCTAGAGCAGAACACCATGTGTGCGTCCCCTCTTGCCGCCGTCCTCCTCCCAGCCCATCTCCCTGTGACCCTTCCATTACCTTCTACACTACAGGGTCATCCCAGAGGTCAGGGCTTAGTGACAGAAAACTGCACCATCAAATTACAGACACAGAGCCACAACTGGATAATGATAACACGCTATGCCCTCAAGGTAACCATTCTTCACACATCACACAACTAAGCACCAACCCACGGACATATTGTTTCCCCTGCCACGCCCGGACAACACATTGAATCACAAACACTGTGGCTGGACATTCCAATGTTGGACACTGGCCTCCACTTGATCTTAAAATGGGTGGAGCTGGAAAGTTAACAACCACAACAACATCGGATAAACAAACTCATCATGTAAGGGGAGGCCATATTTTCACTTAAAATATCTATTTAATATTCTGCTTAAAGCGAAGGTATGGCTGACGATGGCCCTGAGCTGCACCTATTGACTGACTCTGCATCCTTCCTCTAAGAGTATTTAAGAGGTTATTGTTTTCCACCCTTTTTTGTCTTTTGACAATTGAATTATTAATTAGGACACCTGCTGTGGCTGCATAAACAGGTTTGTTCTGTCAAGACAAAATAGTCCGGTGGTAATTTAATAACTGTTATTCCAGATAATGAAAGGACGCATCTTCAAACTATTTTGTTTGTGTGGCCTCGAAAATATCAATTTCCATATGTATTTGGAAGACTATATCATATGCAGCTTTCTACTGTGGTCCTTTGAAAAACTTGACAGCGATCAACAGGTCACACTTTATTTGGATAGTCCCATGTAGATGATCTAAAGATTGTCATACTATCAACAAACGACCTGTTGATAAGCAAATGCTTGCTAAGGTTAGGGTTAGCTTTAGAATAAGGGTTAGGGTAAGGTTAGGGCTAGGGTAAGGGTTAAGTTCAGGGTTAGGATAAGGGTTAAGGGTTAAGGGTTAGGGTTAGTGGATAATTAGTTTAAATGTTGTTGACAGTTATTCAACATATACAAAGTTACTCCGCATCTACAAACCATCTACTTGGGACTATCCAAATAAAGTGTTCCCCAAAAAAGTACTTCAGTTTGAAACTGCATTTATGTGCAGGCAGGGCTAAATGAACACTCATCACGATTGAGTTTATCTATCAACTTACAAAACTTTAACTTCCACAGAAGTTTCTGGAATTTGATATTCTTTGTGCACCACATTATTCTCCACTTCACCACGTGGTAGAATGAGTGCCACCTGGACTAATAAAAACCCAGGCAATGGCAGTCAGCAACTAAAATAAAATACTTCAAGTGCGCCGAGCGGCCACTGGTCTGACACTTCAATTTCCTCGCCAGCGGGAGAGATAGGGAGAACAGAGGTGAGGCATTATATAGTCCACATCACTGGGGCAGTCCGGTTCATTTTTTACCCACAATACAACCCAGACGGACTGACTTCCAGATTCCATAGACAAGACCATTTCCTTCTGATGTCCAGCCCTCCTCCTCCACCTAGCTCAAAATGGAAGCTTGTTTTCTTTCGATAAATATTAAATATGTTACCCTTCCTGCGTCTACGTTCTTTGAGGAGGGTTATATCACAGTGTCTTCAGACATTACTGTTTGTGTGTGTGTGCACATCCTTATGCGTGTGTGCCTCTGTGTACGTGTGCCTGTATGTGTGTGTGTGCCTGTTCGTGTGTGGGCCTGTGTGTGTGTGTGTGTGTGTGTGCCTATGTGTGTGTGTGCCTGTGTGTGTGTGTGTGTGCCTGTGTGTGTGTGTGTGTGCCTGTTCGTGTGTGTGTGTGTGCCTGTGTGTGTATGTGTGCCTGTGTGTGTATGTGTTCCTGTGTGTGTATGTGTGTGTGTGTGTGCCTATGTGTGTGTGTGTGTGTGCCTATGTGGCTGTGTGTGTGTGTTTGCCTGTGTGTGTGTGTGTGTGTGTGTGTGTGTGTGTGTGTGTGCCTGTGTGTGTGCACGCTCCCTCCTGCCCAATCAATGGTAGATATGTAGATGGAGCTTCATTATAACACAGCAGCAGATGTCTGTCTCCCAATTACATTATCCCTGCAATAACCCGCCCTGAACACTCATCTCCAGTCTACACTACCTGGCCCAGTGTGAGGAGTCCATCACAAAATGGGCCCATGGCAAGAACACACTCCATTTGTGAATGATATTACCAGACATTTACTAAATCATTCCCTTGTGTTAACTGGAGTTTATTACAACAAGTGTGGGTTAGTATTGCAAAACATCTGATGTCTTGTGTGTGTGTGTGTATATGTGTGTTTTTCTGTTTGTGTGTGTGTGAATGTGTGAGTGAGTGTGTGTGTGTGCGCCTGCGTGTGTGCGTGAGTGTATGTTTGTATATATGTGTGTGTGTGTGTGTGCATGCCTGCGTTCATGTGTGTGTGTGCGCATGCGTGCTTGTGTTATTATATGGGAGTGTGTGTGTCTGTGTGTGTGTGTGTTACTCTACCTGGTCCTCTTCTCCTCCTCCCTCCTCGTCATACTTCAGGATGTTGTCTCTGACATCGTCCTCCGGGTCAATAAGCAGCTGCTTGGCCTGACGCTCCTTATCACGACGCTTCATCCATACAACAAACAACAACACAAGAACTACAGAGGAGGAAGGGAAAGGGAGGCAGGGAGGGAGAGAGAGATAAAGAGAGCGAGAGAAAGAGAAAGAGAAAGCGAGAGAGAGAGAGATAAAGAGAGCGAGAGAAAGAGAGAGCGAGAGCGAGAGAGAGAGAGAGAGAGAGAGAGAGAGAGAAAGAGAGTGAGTGAGAGAGAAATAAAAAGAGAGCAAATTATCCCATATTACAAAACATAAGATATTTTGCATACACATGTAATTCAATCCAGAATTTAGAACTTGCCACGAGACTGATCAGGTCTATCTATCTTTTGGGTAATCCTGAAATAATCTACTGGTATCTCTTGGGCATGACATTTAGCTCCCTTCATAATCCCTGCAGCAGTGTTTGGGGATGGCAAGGGATGGCATTTATCTTGTTTTTTATGTGTGTGGTGGGCGGGGTGATGGGGACACTGGTGTCTGGTGTGTGTGTGTGTATTTGTGTGCATACGTGCGCTGAGGCAGAACGGCAGTGGGACACTCACTGAGCAGGATGATGATGCAGAGCAGGATGGCGATGATGGCGCCCGTGCCCAGCCCTGCAGCGACAATGTGCTGCTGGTCGGTGCAGTCCCCATTGTGGTCACACTGACACACCTTGACCCGCAGGTAGGAGGTGTTGGACATGGGCAGGTTGCCAGAGTCAGTGATTATGATGGGGATCTCGTAGATGCCGCTTTCCAGGAAGCCAATCTTCAGGCTCAACTGGGCAAAGTCACCTGGGGGTGGGAGGGAGTGGGGGAGGGAGGGGGAGAGGGAATGAGAGAGGGAGGGAGACGTAAAGGAAGGGAAAGAGAGAGAAATATAAACATTTAACTCAATTACTAATCACTCAATAACACAAAACAACACTAACCTTAATCTCTACATAAAAAATCCAAGTGCAACTTTTTCTAAACAGATAAGCCCATCTCTGAACTTGCCATTTGTATTGAGTGTACAAATTAGATAACCAACTTATTACTACTGGGAAAAAGCTGAACAGAACAGCATAAATTACTATACCTGGAAGTTGTCAGCATATCTAATCCAAAATATGGTCAGGATTTATATTTATATTTTATAAACCCACTGAAGACCTTTTGATAATGCCGCTTAGGCTAAACCTCCCCAGTTCCTATAATCCATTTGGTTGTTATACTGTTAAGATATTTATTCACTGTGGTTTACATTCACAACATCTAAGCACTAGCAACGCACAACAAATGAGTAATTCCTCCTTTTTTGTGTTGGCATAATTAGCATAATCAATTAGTGAGCTGCTTGATGAAGCGAAGGCCTGCTATTAATCTATTTTATAGTACATTGTCTTCATTAAGGCCATGTGAGGAACTGAGAGCATTGTCTATTGTTATAGGTCACTGCACCTTGTCCTATCGAAAGCCAGAAACCACGTCACCCCATGGACATGAAGCCTATACTGTACTGCCTCTAAGCTAGTGCCAAGCACATACAGTCCCAAACCCTACAGTGTTATTATCACCATCCAAATGACCAGGGCCACACAGTACTGGTGGTTCTCCATTCTCACTGGCAGTTGATTGATGAATGTCAGTTATTGGCCAGAATGGCTCCTGGTGACCCAGGTCTAAATCGGTCACTGATTACATGGGAAGAATGAAAACCAGAAGTACTGCCGACCCACAGGCCCAGGTATATTGATTAGCCCTGATTTTGTTGTTCTTGTGTCTTACCACTGAGCCGTGTGATGGTCCAGTTTCTCCTTACGTCTGAGGGCCTGTTGGCCAGCTCGAATGCGAAGGGTCCGGCGTTGGGGTTGAGGTCTCCGTCCAGCGCTGTGATGTTGATGCCGTTGGGCTCAGGTTTCTCACACACCTCAGTCTCTTGGGGGTAGACGTGGGGCGCGTTGTCATTGATGTCCAGCAGGAAGATCTGCAGGGTGCCTGTACCGCTCGCCGGGGGGACGCCTGGACGGGACAACACACACAGACAGACAGGGACACACGCACACACACACACACACACACGTACATTAATAAAAATATTGATTTTAACAAATCCACATAACGATAAGGGGAAATATATAATGAAGTGATCTGCCTCATTTTAATGCATGATGTCTCACTGCGCTGTGGTAATGCATAAAGTCCTTATCCTGAGCCTGGTGCTTGGTGCTAAACTAAGGCATAGAGGAGCAGCAACAGTCACCCTGCAGAGACAGGACCCTCCAGACAGGGGGGACGGGGACGGTGGTGGGGGGAGGGCAGAGGGTCTGGGTGTGTGTGTGATCTGAAGAGAATGTGTCTTCCTGACGAAGGGGGAGGCCACGGGGTGAGAATACTAAAGCAGACAGACAGAGAAGAGCCCACTGTCGCTGCCTTAGCCCCAGAGCCTCAACTCCTTTATGTATTCATGGGGCTAAGAGGCTTTTTTGCCATTCAGGCCACGCTCAAAGGAGCTAGTCATCCAATTCTAACCTATTAATGCTGAGAAACCTCTATATTGGGTGAGTTTTTAAGCCTATTGGCCTGTGATGTGCTCCGTGGAACAGGCTAAACCTGAACAGAGGTAAATCCAGTCAGGGAAGGAGAGAGGAGAGAGGTGAACACATCCACAGTGTGGCTGTTAAGTCTGGGCTGGCTCGGAAACATTTCCTTCAACAGGAATTTTTGCCTGCTAAAAACAATATTCTAGGCTACTTGTGGGAAGCAGATATTAGAGCCTGGTGGCTAGGCTACGTACCGCTGTCAGAGGCAAGGAAGGTGGCGCTGTACATGTTGTCCTTCACGTAGGGCGACTCACGGTCCAGGACGGCGATAGTTGTGATGCGCCCGGTGTTAGGGTCGATTCTCAGCCAGTTGGCTGGGTCTGAGAGCCTGGTGTATCTGAGAATACAAAGGACGAGTCAAAAGAGAACCACTGCACTCTCCCATAAGCTTGGTTGGTGCGTATTTCAGACAAACAAAAATGTGTAAAGTGTCCGCACTCAAAAAGATGTTGCATAAAGCTTACTTCCTTATTCCATTTTTTTTGGTATTTTCACTGCACAGACATTTCAGCTTTACAGCCTTCTTCAGTGTGTACATTTACAGAGGACGAGGAAAGCTTATAAGAAGATACAAGACAACTTTACATGTTCGTTTTTCTCTCATGCAGACGTGTACATTTAAGGTTGAAAGTGTTGAATGTTCAATAAAAGGGAGTGTTTTCATTGACGTAATGCCAGTCAGTGCTTTGAGCAAACTGTATGGACAATTCTGCATGAATACAGCTATTTAGTGCCATTATTACCTAATGGTCTGCTGCATGAATCTATCAGGGTCCTGTGCTGTGAAGGTGGTCAGTGCTGATTCTGGTTGCATCCCCTCCTCCAGTTTGATGAGTTTGGGGTTGGGTTCAAAGTAGGGGCTCTCGTTGACATCGATGACCCTGATGGAGACCGTGGCGGTGGACTGGCGAGGGGAGTGGATGCCCCGGGCGAGGGACACCTCGTTCACTGCTACCACCGTCAAAACGTATGTCCTGCTGATCTCATAGTCGATTGGCTGTAGGGAGGAAACCAACAGTATGTAAGCATGTTCCATTGAGTGTAAAAGAATGGATGTACAGTGAGGGAGAAAAGTATTTGATCCCCTGCTGATTTTGTACGTTTGCCCACTGACAAAGAAATGATCAGTCTATCATTTTAATGGGATGTTTATTTGAACAGTGAGAGACAGAATAACAACAAAATAATCCATAAAAACGCATATCAAAAATGTTATAAATAGATTTGCATTTTAATGGGGGAAATAAGTATTTGACCCCCTCTCAATCAGAAATATTTCTGGCTCCCAGGTGTCTTTTAAACAGGTAACGAGCTGAGATTAGGAGCACACTCTTAAAGGGAGTGCTCCTAATCTCAGCTTGTTACCTGTATAAAAGACACCTGTCCACAGAAGCAATCAATCAATCAGATTCCAAACTCTCCACCATAGCCAAGACCAAAGAGCTCTCCAAGGATGTCAGGGACAAGATTGTAGACCTACACAAGGCTGGAATGGGTTACAAGACTTTCGCCAAGCAGCTTGGTGAGAAGGTGACAACAGTTGGTGCGATTATTCGCAAATGGAAGAATCTCCCTCGGCCTGGGGCTCCATGCAAGATCTCACCTCGTGGAGTTGCAATGATCATGAGAACGGAGAGGAATCAGCCCAGAACTACACAGGAGGATCTTGTCAATGATCTCAAGGCAGCTGGGACCATAGTCACCAAGAAAACAATTGGTAACACACCACGCCGTGAACGACTGAAATCCTGCAGCGCCCGCAAGGTCCCCCTGCTCAAGAAAGCACATATACAGGCCCGTCTGAAATTTGCCAATGAACATCTGAATGATTCAGAGGAGAACTCAACTCGCCGTGTTTGGAGGAGGAGGAATGCTGCCTATGACCCCAAGAACACCATCCCCACCGTCAAACATGGAGGTGGAAACATTATGCTTTTGGGGTGTTTTTCTGCTAAGGGGACAGGACAACTTCACCGCATCAAAGGGACGATCAAATCTTGGGTGAGAACCTCCTTCCTTCAGCCAGGGCATTGAAAATGGGTCATGGATGGGTATTCCAGCATGGGGTTGGGAGCTGAAGGTTCGAGTTGCCAAACGTCAGCCTCGAAACCTTAATGACTTGGAGAAGATCTGCAAAGAGGAGCGGGACAAAATCCCTCTTGAGTTGTGTGCAAACCTGGTGGCTAACTATAAGAAACGTCTGACCTCTGTGATTGCCAACAAGGGTTTTGCCACCAAGTACTAAGTCATGTTTTGCAGAGGGGTGAAATACTTATTTCCCTCATTAAAATGCAAATCAATTTATAACATTTTTGACATGCATTTTTCTTGATTTTTTTGTTGTTATTCTGTCTCTCACTGTTCAAATAAACCTACCATTAAAATTATAGACTGATCATGTCTTTGTCAGTGGGCAAACGTACAAAATCAGCAGGGGATCAGATACTTTTTTCCCTCACTGTATAAAGTATTTATTCTGTTTTTCTTATCAATAAAATATTATTCTTATTTTTCTAATGCCATAAGACAAAGAGCCCAGGAGAAGTCAGCTAGGAGCTACTGTAGTTAGTTCTACAACTGTTGACCAATCAGTCTTCAATTGCTACAAACAAACACACACACACACACACAGACAGAGAGTTAAATAAAACAGTTGACATGCACGTTTGCTTTCTCTGCTATAGATAACTCCTATAGCTTACAAACATAGAAGGCATTATAAACTATTAATTTTATCTTTAAGAGCTGTCATATTCATGATAAGTAGCTCCTGGGGGGGGTATTGAGTCCGAGGGTGCAGCAGCCAGTCTCACCTTGACAACGGTTACCAGGCCCTCGTTAGTGGTGGGGTCGGTTGGCACGGAGAACCTGCCGGTGGGGTCGCCCCCGGTGATCTTGTAGACGGCGTTCCAGGCTGGTGTGTTGGGCTGGTCTTTGTCTGTCACCGTCAGGTTGGCCACGATGACATTTACCCGGTTCTCAGGCACCTCTCCAAAGAACTACATGAATAAAAGATGGGGGATGGGACAGAGAGAAGTTAGAGAGCAGTTAGACTTACTGCTGCGCCAGCGGAAAACACAGGCTCTGTGCTCCAGCACTACACTCCTGACATTTCAGGTAAATAAATGTCCACAGCAACTTATCATGTTATCTTCACCATCTCGGTCTGATAGAAAAACAATACCATTACATTACACACAGGGGATGCATCTCTCACAAATACATTCAGCACCTTTCTCTGCTCTCCTCTCCTCTGCTCTCGCTCATCTCCTCTCTTTGTCTGCCTGATGTACTTAGGGTGTCAGTACTTACATGTGTCAACATTTGGACAGAGTAGGACAGAATAGTAAATGCATGGCTGGCTAACAGCTAATCTTTATGCCATCTGAAATGCTCTGTAAGCAAGGCTGAGTGTGTGCTATGTGTGGGTTAAGTACATATAGACCGTGTGTCTGCATGGTTCTTTACAGTGCTATGACTGGGCCCACAGCGTGGTGTAGTACATGGATGTGAAGCTGTGTTCTTTCTCACCGTCTCTGCAGTGAACTCTGGTGGGTTGTCATTGATGTCGGTGACTTTGATGACGGCGGTGGCGGTGTTGGAGAGACCGTACATGGGGTTGCCCTCCATGTCTGTGGCCTGGATGATCAACGTGTACTGAGGCACTTTCTACAAGAAGAAAAATAAGAAAAACATGTTGGAAAATAATTCACTATATATATGAACAACACCTAAACCCTTGTGTTGAGCCTTACGTGTAGGTTGAATCTTACATAAACCAAAATAATGATCATTTTCAATTTCTCTTCATTTTTATGTTAAATTCCTCTTCTCCTAACAACCTACTATCTGTCAAACCACAATGAGGAGTTATTCTCACAATGATCAAGTCTACATCAATTCCCTGTGGAGAGAGAAATAATCTATAGAAGTCTGCTTGCTGTGGGAGTGCAACACTTCCACATTTCCACTCTGTGTAGCATAATGGTGCATGATGGGTAATCCCGCTGTAACAAATGACTCCCTTCACATTAAAAGCCACTCAAGTGACGGACCAGTTGCTAGGTAATGAGAATCGGGCAAATTACTTTCAGGGTGGCAACTGCCGAACATATAACAGCTATAACAGTGGCCCCGGAGGCGAACTTGATATAGCAGGCCAGCTAGTCAGATTGCCCTCGCCGGAATTGCGCAACTGGCTTTGTTTCTTCCCCTTGACTTATATATTAAGTTCTTTTTTTATCTTCTTCTTTCATCCAGTATAAGCAAGACCATCGCCATGCAATTAAATAGGAGAGTGTTACCATTAATAGCAACGGGGAGAATAATAAACATTTATCTGCTCAATGATGCATGTTGCCTCCTTGTTAGAGGCAATAAGTACGAAGCGGGCGATGAGTCCATTTCTGGGCTCCGTTGGTAAAATGGTAATCAGTCATGCTTAGCGAACTTAATTAGTTTTGAGACACACTAAAGATTATCATCAGCAAAAACAACCCAAAAGTACACTGTTCTGTTTGTTTTCAAATCTGTATCTGAAATCCACAGCTCATTTAGGTAAACAAAGGAAAGGATATCTTGACTAATGCATGTTAGAGGAGCGCTGTGCAGCAAAGGAGGAGAACACATTCATTAATAAGATAAATGGCTGTGATACTGGGACTGTAACTTTAATGCTACTGTATTGGGGGTTTAATAGGCACACATATGCACGCGCTGTCACGATCGTTATGAGAAGATGCGGACCAAGGCGCAGCGTGGTGAGCGTACATACTTTTATTGAAGTACACACACGAACAAAACAACAAACCAAACGATACGTGAAGTCCTAGGGTAACACCAAAACAAACCTTACGGAACAAGATCCCACAATAAACAGTGCCAAACAGGCTGCCTAAGTATGGTCCCCAATCAGAGACAACAAGCTACAGCTGCCTCTGATTGGGAACCACCCTGGCCAACATAGAAATACACGAACTAGAACAAAACATAGAAAATAACACATGGAAAATCCACACCCTGGCTCAACATATAAGAGTCCCCAGAGCCAGGGCGTGACACGCGCACACTCATTCACAAACTGCTGTATTGCGTACCTCTCTGTCCAGGCCGGCTGCGACCGTAATGATGCCTCCTGTCTTATTGTTGATGGTGAACATGTTGGATGTCGGGCTCTCAGGATTCTGGGATACGATCTTGTAGCGCAGCATCCCATTGGCTGTTTTGGGGTCATCTTTGTCAACAGACGTTACCGTCATAACAAAGGTCCCTGAGTGATGACAAGACAGACATAAGATGCAAATAGGGGATTTAACAAGGGTTTTTAAAACAATATGACCTTGTTTTATTTCAGTACTGCATTTAATTTACCTACAGTCATTAAACTACTTCCCTTTTATGAGGATCCATAGATTAATATGGAGCACAGTCAAAACATATCCCAAATAAAAGCTTTGGCTTTGTCTGAAATGTTGACAAAGCACTTCCACAAGAGAATACGTACTATTGGCAGAGATCTTATCCATATCGAACAGCAGCAAAATTAACAAAATTATTACCCCCTGTGATTAATCAATGCTGTTTTATCTAGTGATAGTCTAGTGGCACTGAGGGCCAGAGGAAGGCTGGGAGGTTGGTCTGGGCTCCTACCTGGTTTAGAGCCCTCAGGGATGGTGCCGTTCCAGATCTGATGGATGAACTCTGGCCGGTTGTCATTCATGTCAATCACATTGATCACAATGTCGATGGGGCTCTCTACTTGGTTACCGTTCAGATCCACAGCATGGGCTCTCAGCTACAGGGAGACACCAGGGAGATATCAGCACGCATGCAAGAACCAAACAATACACATACAGCAAACACACATTTGCCTGAGCAGAACTTTGGCATTGTAATGGCTCTCTTCCTTCGGCTATTTCCAATTATCTCAGGGTAAAAAAATTAACCCAGAAATTTGCCTTTCAATACTGTTAATGTTTGTTTCTTCACAGTGCAGTGCTTCCAGCAATGCCTGCTCCATTTTTGTCTGCCCACTGTCTAATACAAGTCTCACCCTGAATCAAATCAATAGCATTGGATGCTAGACATATCACGACTCCCAAACAATGACCAATGCCATTTAATTAAATAGTTATGAGTGCGTCATGATCTCACTGGAGGTTGTCATTACATGTAAAACACCTGCTTTTGTAACAAATAAATCCACACATTGAATCTTTCAAATTCTCAAACAGATAAGTCAGTTCCTGAATACCCCTGCCCCCCATCCCCCCTCTAGTGTCCACTATGGAGGGGTGTTTGGACTACCAAGGGACCTTGAGCACATGCCAGCCAGCCTCCTGGAATGTACAGACAATGTATTAGCCAAAGAGGACACATACCTCTGGATAAAGAGCGCTTAATGCTTGGTACTCTGTTTAGAAACCTTTTACTGTAACTGTCCGCTCCTATTCACTGCACAGGTTGCAAGGCCAAGGTTCTCTCTCTATCATGAAGAAAAGTCAATACAGTCAAACGCACATCACTTTAGGTGGTGCTGAGCCAAAGAAAGCTTGAGATTAATAGGACCCCCCCCCCCCTACACTATTGCTCCACCATACGTTTATTTGGCTAGAAAATAACAATGTTTTGATCTTGACTTTGTCAGTATGCGTGGTCCTAATAATCTCCTCTCTCTCACGTAGGCCCATATGTGTGTGTATGAGACTTACATGGAAGTTGGAAATGTGTTCTCTGTCCAGGGGTTTCATGACGGACAGCTCTCCAGAGATGGGGTGGATGATGAAGATGCCAGTGGGCGGCTGGTCAGCTCCGGGTCCGGTCACACTGTACCTCAGGGAGCGGTTCTTGTCATTGTCCGACCGGATCTGTTTCAGAACCCGAAAGTATGTTGGTCAACAATCAATACTCAATTGTGGGTATATATACTGTGCAGAATTCTACTTAAAATAATAATGTTATGGCGGGGATATGTATCGGTGTGGGTGTGTTTCCCCGGCATGGAGTCCCATTGGTGAGGGGTATAGACAGATTTTCCTCCCTTGCTTGTGTGTGTGAACGCGTCTAAACTATATGTGAGTGTGATGTATTTGAGCCTCTGTGTCCTCACTGGCCTGCCTATCTCTACCCATAAGCCTGGGTATCCATGGTGTGTCTGGATGGTGCCTGGTGCCTCACCCTTATGTCATCCATTAAACTCAGCAACATTCCCCCTAACGCTTCTGGATTAATTATAATACATACAGACAGTATATACTGGACTTAGCACTCAGTCAGGAACCAGTAAGCTTACGTTGAGAAAGGATCTACTTCTTAACTGACATGAGAAGGATAGCCAGTCCTCCATCATTCACATCCACCCACCCCCTGCCCCTTGAGCCCATGATAAAGTGAGGATAATATCTCAACAGAAAACCTGAGGGAAACAGGCCACTGGAGGACTCTTTTGTCCTTCTCACTGTCATCTCTAAAGCTACTAGCAGGAACATTCATAGTGACGGCCTGCCTGACTGGGAGAGGGAAATCAGATACTTTAGCACCAGCACTTGACCTTTCAGGATGTGGAGTCAATATGGCGGTAGATTGAGTGGTAATGCTGGTAGAATAGAAATGACCGGTCCAAATTCTGCTGCTGCTCCATAGAACCATGAAGCTCAAAATAAGAGCACCATCTCCTTTCAGGTTGTAGATAACTGGTGTGATAGGTGTGTGTGTGTGTGTGTATGTGGCGTCTTACCCGGACCAGGTCCTGGGGGAACTCTCCTCTGGAGTTCTCTGGGACGTTGATTGGGGGGATTACCCAGTCCCTCTTCATGCGTTTGAGCTGGCCCACAGAGCTGCTGTCTGTCTGCCGCGATGGGAACCAGATCTCCTGGAGACCCTGGGACAGAGCTGGGGGAGCTGGGATATCTTGGGCCTGGAGGAGAGAAGTAACATCCGTTTACCAACTGGACACATCTAAAAACCAATGGCTTTAGGTAGACTGTTCATACAGTAGCCACAAGACAAAGTGTCTTTACCTACCAATGAAGTTATGGAAATAATTCAAGAGAATGCAAATTCTTGACTGCCCTAAAACAGTTTTTTGTTAATATCGTTGAGTATGGTTACATGCACACAATAATATGACTAATGTGACTAGTCAGATTAATATAATAGTTAGATTAAAACCTTTACATGCTTTGCAAGAATAATTATTTCCTTAATAATCCTGTTTACATGGACACATCTGAAATCAGGCTACCTGATGGGACTTTGATAAATGCAGAAAATCGCCAATAAAGATAAACGTTCACTCGTGCATAATAAGAGGGAGGCTCGCTCGTCTGGTGCTAGCACATGCGCAGATCAAATACACAGCTGGAATTCAGATTAAGTTGTTTACATGTCCTAATAATTCGAAAGATTGCTCAGAAAACCAGGTGTTTTAATCGGCGTATGCTGACTTCGATCATGACCTTAGGCCGATTAAGATAAGCAGAGTGAGGTGTTTACATGACTAAAGCCATACTTGGCCAACTGCCATAATCAGTTTAATATTCAATTATTAGTGTGCATGTAAACATACTCATTGAACTATACCAGCTAGAGGACCTAATCTAGGAGGGAGGAGGCTTTTTGATGTGATCACATTATATTTTAGGATCTATTTAGTCTTTGAGAAATCAGTGAAGGTTAACATTTCCTTCATACGTGTGATGATGTTTTTGAACAGCCTCTCTTTCCAGGCTCTCTTCTCCATGGCTGGGAATGAGAGTAGCGTTTGAGATTATTTGGCGAGGATAGTACTGTAGCCCCTCAGTTAGCTTTAAATCACAGACCTCCTCTCATGTCCTGATAAAAGCATGCATGCACGCACAGGCACACACACAAACAGGCACACACACAGGCTTGTAAAATGGATGTGCCATCCTCCCTTGGCTGTAATGAATGTGATTTGAAACAAAGGAGGATGGTACCTGCAAGCCAGACTCTATATAGCCAGATGGCTCCATTTGCCTTTGCTGTTCCACAGAGAGAGAGACTGTTGGGCGAGAGACCCAAGTAGCGCCAGAGAAGTCATAATAGCCTTGAACGCCCGATGGAAAAATGAAACTTAGGTAGAACAGTCATGCTTCAGAAAGTCCCTTCTTAACTCTCTCTCCTCCGTCTGCAATTACTGATCGTCAATTCGTTACACAATATCCAAAGTACTAAAACTAGCCTAAAGCCACAGTGTGCAAACAGCTAAATTAATTACAGTTTTGCCCCCTTACAACACGAGTCCCATCCCACGCAGCCTCACCAAGCACGCAGCCTCTCCTTGACCATCTGCAGAGTTGTCGGAGCACCTCCACTAATCATGTTTGAAATCCGATTATGCTGCATTCACACATTTGAAATGCAGAGAGGCAAGCGGACAGATAGCGGGGAACATGCATCAGAAATATCTATTATCCTATTAAACCGAAGGAGAGAGTGGTAATTATTTCTGACCTGGCGGTTGGAATGATGAATGGTGTGGAGGGTTTGCTTAGCAGTCTCAGCCCCAGCACAGTCACATCTATCTATCTCTGGAGTTTACTGGAGGTCTCTCTGCCCCCTACATCCTCTGACTGCTAGACTACACTTCAGTATCCCTGAGAGCTTGGGAGTGTTTGTGTAATGTGTGTGAGAGAGATGTGTTTGTGTATGTGTGTGTGTGTGTGTTGCTATAGACAAGTACAAAATCACCCTCTCTAAAGCCTAGGGTGGGTCTTGGTTTTCAGCCTGTCTCCTGTGGTGACGTTTATGCTGATGGTAGGGAAGGTTACTGATGTTAATGAGCCAATCGTTATTTCTTTATAGATTAAAACATTCCCCTAGGGCCGATGCGTTCACAGTGTTTGCTAATATAGCATCTAATCTCTGATGTGATTATGGATCGCATGATGATGATTCATGACAATCATTGCATTGGAGAGAGAACCACATAACCAGATAACCACACCAGTGTTTCCCCTATATTCATTTAACAACGGTGGGCCGCTGCTGCTAAATTGTGGCCAGCTCTGTGGCCAAGCCCCTTGTTTATCTGCCCTGGACAAGTGTGCAATTCTCTTTAAATGAGCGACACGAGTGACTAATGGTGTCATTAAAATCACATACCTGCAGGAGTCACTATGGTAAATGAGCATCAGCGCCTAACAATGCTGTTTTCAAAACTCTTGCTAAATCATCCCCCATAGAAGTTTAATTTGACTTCATCGCTGCTGCTGCTGCTGCTGCTGCCCTACTGCACTCACATCTATTTGACATAACTGTAAAAATGTATGTTTAATCTGGAGGCTTATAAAATAATGCACTCGCCTTTTATGTGATGTTTCGAAGAGGTGCTTTTGAAATGGGCTGCTTGTGCAGCTAATTTGTTCTGTATATGACTGGAGAAAGAGACAATGTATTTTCAGATGGTGTCTTTGTTGAACAAAGAGGCTCATTGTGCTGTATTTAAGAGGCATTCATTAACAATGAGAGTCCACAATGCATGAAGATCAGACAATGCTGACTTCAATAATTCAACCTAAAAATTGGAGAGAGAGAGCGAGAGAGAGAGCTTAAATGTGAGTCTGTGCACTCTAGCCAATTCACACCATTCCAGCTAGTGAGAGAGAAAGACTGTCACAGATTATGGCCATTTAACTGAACAGAAACACATAATCTAGTACTGAGTATGAGGTTATAAATACAAACACAGCCGTTTGAGTCTTGTTTCTCCTCATCTCCCTGTTCTCTCTCTCAATTACACACTTGATTACATCACCACATCACACGGCCTCTCTCCTCTACAGCCAATCACAATGTTGACTGATGAGCACATGGTCAAGCGTTAGCGGTGCCTGTCGAGCCCAACAGAACATTGACTGAACGGTAGGATCTTTGAAGCCTAGAGACAGATGCTCCCTGTCCTCTGAATCACCACTAGGGGTGCACTGCAATGCATTCCCCTCTGGTTGGATGACAAACATACAGCCATAAACCTCGCCGCTGCCGCCACAAGGAGGCTGATTGAAATCAGTCTTTATGAGGAGCTATTTTGCATGTGTTGTGTGTGGCGCCAATACCCACTGACCGTGTTGAGTATGTGATTGTGCTCCCCTTTAAAATGATACGTTACGTTTTAATTAGTGAGCATCCATCCAGTCTCCCGGAACACCTGCTACAATTTAGGGAACAAATAATCTGTGAATGCTTGGCACGGCTACTAAGAGGAAGGAATTGGATGCAGGGGCGGAATTGGAATTGGAACTTTCCAGATTCCACAATGCTACCCGAAGTCACAAATAATCAAGAAACATTAGAGAGAGAGAGGAGAGGGTGGAAACGAGAGAGGATGTGTGTGGAGGTGTTGGACGTACCTGCTGGCTCTGGCCTATAGGGGGCATTAATCTCACTTGGGTCTGCCATTTCTGCTGATTGGTCTCGTCCCTGGCCACAATCACTAGGGGCACCGCCCGGAGGGTGGACACGGTCAAGGGCCTGAGGGCGTAGACCACCCCGTCAGCCTCTATACGGAAGTCGGACGGGTTACTGCACTCAAACTGCACCAGTCCATCTTGGCCGCAGTTCACAAACTTCACTGTAAGAGAGAGAGGGAGAGAGGAGACAGAACATGAGATTGAAGCTGATGCAACCAGGGAGAGAGAGACAGAAAGACAGCGAATAGACACTCAGAGAGACATCCAGATAGACAGACAGGTGCCCTCCTCCCACACCACTCCCAGACTGTGTGGTACAGTCCACAAAGGTTCTCCAATTCCTCCTAAAACTCATACATAATGTATTTCAAGCTGTGCCCCAAAAGTATTGTTAAAAACTGGTGTGGTAGAAAGAGAGAAGGAGAAAGTGAGAGAAAAAAGAGAAAAAGAAAGAAAGCAAAAGGGAGATGTGCACCCCTGAAGGGCACTTGCTGAATCACAACGAATAAATCTAAAATACCAAAACATTGTTTTTTAAAACTGATGTGCCAATTAGACTGTGGCTAAATGCACTGTTCTGTCTGGGTAAATAGAAGCACCAGCTTAAATAAATAGAGGAATAATTTACATAGGTTCCAGACTTTTTTCTTATTGCTTTTAGCTCAAGTCGTTGCATGCTAGCTTTCTCCCCAATAACAAACACGGATGCTTCGCCGTGGTCGGCTAGCAATCCTGACTCCAAGGGAGTGAGAAGTGTGTGATGTTTATTTCATCAGTGTGCACACATACACACATACACACATACACACATACACACACACACACAGCTCCTTGGAGCTCTAGTACACAGTCCCAGAGCACTTCAGTGGCAGTGGTCTGATATTGGTTCATGTTACAGGTGAGTGACAGTGCATCTCAAACACCACACATACACACACAATTCTACACGTTAAAACACACACACACACACACACACACACACACACACACACACACACACACACACACACACACACACACACACACACACACACTCACACACACACATAAACAAACATCTATGTACACACACATGCACACACACACACACACACATACACAAAGAGAGAACAGAAAAACAGCCAGCATACACATAATACTGAAACTCCTCCAAGCTAAAGAGATAAGACGTAAAGATATATCATTTCTGTGTAGGCTGCGCCGATGCCATTTTGAATTATTAAACCAGACGGCAAATTACTTAACAAAAGCCTTGAAGAAGGACATCTAATCTCCCATTCTTGTGTTACCTTGAGGACAGACAGAGCTACAGAGAGCTGCGACTTCAGCGGGTCTTTACACTGGGAGCACAGCAGTGGGAGGGATCACATCACCTGTGGGCCTGTAGAAGGAGGGAGGCTGAGCCCTGGCTCTGAACAGGAACTAACGTTTAACCCCCGGCCCTATTGACTGGGTGCTGATCTAGGATGTTGGGAGTGTGAAAAGCAAAAATAGGAGCCTCAATTTTTTGTGCACACTCGCACACACACACACACACACACACACACACACACACACACACACACACACACCGAAATACAATTAACTACCTACGAATAACAACCCTTCAGTGACAGAAATAATTAACACTGTCTTGCTAGTTAAACTAAAGAGAAAGCCTTTTGAGTTCACTTGCATCCGGCTTTCAACATAATACACAACATGTACCAGTTCCTTTCTATTCTGGAACATAAAGCACAATGGCTAAACCACCACAGCAGGTGACAGAGCCATTTTCCCAATGGCAAAGTATTGTGAAATTGTGAAAATGAGCAAAGAATAAAGAGAGGGGAAAAAACATTCACTATGATCAGACAGTTGACTTTTACAGTGGACACAAAGGTATCCAGTGAAGTGTGTACCTTACTGAATGAACCACCATGTCCTCATGAAAAGAGGACCAAAATACAGGCATTTTCTATGTATAAAAAAAAAACCCAGAAGAGACTAGAGAGAGACCTAGAGATAGATAGAGAGAAGAGAGAACATACAGTGGGGAAAAAAGTATTTAGTCAGCCACCAATTGTGCAAGTTCTCCCACTTAAAAAGATGAGAGAGGCCTGTAATTTTCATCATAGGTACACGTCAACTATGACAGACAAAATGAGAAAAAAAAATCCAGAAAATCACATTGTAGGATTTTTAATGAATTTATTTGCAAATTATGGTGGAAAATAAGTATTTGGTCAATAACAAAAGTTTCTCAATACTTTGTTATATACCCTTTGTTGGCAATGACACAGGTCAAACGTTTTCTGTAAGTCTTCACAAGGTTTTCACACACTGTTGCTGGTATTTTGGCCCATTCCTCCATGCAGATCTCCTCTAGAGCAGTGATGTTTTGGGGCTGTCGCTGGGCAACACAGACTTTCAACTCCATCCAAAGATTTTCTATGGGGTTGAGATCTGGAGACTGGCTAGGCCACTCCAGGACCTTGAAATGCTTCTTACGAAGCCACTCCTTCGTTGCCCGGGCGGTGTTTTTGGGATCATTGTCATGCTGAAAGACCCAGCCACGTTTCATCTTCAATGCCCTTGCTGATGGAAGGAGGTTTTCACTCAAAATCTCACGATACATGGCCCCATTCATTCTTTCCTTTACACGGATCAGTCGTCCTGGTCCCTTTGCAGAAAAACAGCCCCAAAGCATGATGTTTCCACCCCCATGCTTCACAGTAGGTATGGTGTTCTTTGGATGCAACTGAGCATTCTTTGTCCTCCAAACACGACGAGTTGAGTTTTTACCAAAAAGTTCTATTTTGGTTTCATCTGACCATATGACATTCTCCCAATCCTCTTCTGGATCATCCAAATGCACTCTAGCAAACTTCAGACGGGCCTGGACATGTACTGGCTTAAGCAGGGGGACACGTCTGGCACTGCAGGATTTGAGTCCCTGGTGGCGTAGTGTGTTACTGATGGTAGGCTTTGTTACTTTGGTCCCAGCTCTCTGCAGGTCATTCACTAGGTCCCCCCGTGTGGTTCTGGGATTTTTGCTCACCGTTCTTGTGATCATTTTGACCCCACGGGGTGAGATCTTGCGTGGAGCCCCAGATCGAGGGAGATTATCAGTGGTCTTGTATGTCTTCCATTTCCTAATAATTGCTCCCACAGTTGATTTCTTCAAACCAAGCTGCTTACCTATTGCAGATTCAGTCTTCCCAGCCTGGTGCAGGTCTACAATTTTGTTTCTGGTGTCCTTTGACAGCTCTTTGGTCTTGGCCATAGTGGAGTTTGGAGTGTGACTGTTTGAGGTTGTGGACAGGTGTCTTTTATACTGATAACAAGTTCAAACAGGTGCCATTAATACAGGTAACGAGTGGAGGACAGAGGAGCCTCTTAAAGAAGAAGTTACAGGTCTGTGAGAGCCAGAAATCTTGCTTGTTTGTAGGTGACCAAATACTTATTTTCCACCATAATTTGCAAATAAATTCAATAAAAATCCTACAATGTGATTTTCTGGAGAAAAAAAATCTCAATTTGTCTGTCATAGTTGACGTGTACCTATGATGGAAATTACAGGCCTCTCTCATCTTTTTAAGTGGGAGAACATGCACAATTGGTGGCTGACTAAATACTTTTTTCCCCCACTGTAACGAGGATTATAATTGATGAATACTGTACAAGCACTGAGCCTTGTTGGTTGCAGCTTTTACCCCCAAGCCATAAGACTCCTGAACAGCTAATCATGGCTACCCAGACTATTTGCACTGCCCCCCCACCCCATCCTTTTTACGCTGCTGCTACTCTGTTAATTATTTATGCATAGTCACTTTAACTCTACCCACATGTACATATTACTTCAATTATCTCAACTAGCCGGTGCCCCCGCACATTGACTCTGCACCGGTACCCCCCTGTATATATAGCCTCCCTACTGTTATTTTATTTACTTCTGCTCTTTTTTTCTCAACACTTTTTTTGTTGTTGTTTTATTTTTTAAAAACAAATAAATAAATGCACTGTTGGTTAAGGGCTGTAAGTAAGCATTTCACTGTAATGTCTGCACCTGTTGTATTCGGCGCATGTGACCAATACAATTTGATTTGATTTGATTTGATTTGATTTGAAAATAAAACACTGAACTAAAATGTATTCAGAGGGTTCTCAAGAAGATGAATGAAAATACAATCCTGCTTTACTTTAACACGTTTGTAGAGAGGGAGGGAGAAACTGTTGAAAGGGCCTTGGATGCAACCCATTACACTGTGCTACAGTTAAAGCATCGCATCTGCAAACAGAGCCATAGTACTGCACTGATCTGCTGCACCTGAGGAATTGCCATTCATCTAAATATTGATGAAAAGCACACAAAGGTGTCTCAGAGAGTGGCTCGGCATTGTGGGGGAAAGAAGCAAAGTAAACACTATGAAATTAAGATATACAAGAATATCTATCCTATGCCTATATTCTGGAACCGAACACACCATGAGCCTATATATTGACCATCCGCACAGAGCTTTTGTTCAAGCAACCTCATCCCATTAGTTTTTTTCTGTCTGTTTGAACCTGGCAAAGCCGACTTCAGAGCGCTATGTGACCTTGGTTAGCTGAAGTTGTTTCCTTCCAGCCTTCAGGCAATCACCTCCACAGCACTAGTCCGTCTGATGCTCAGACACATACAGAATACAGAGAGAAGTGTCAGAACGGCTCAGCTCACAATGACAGCTTTTACTGGGTGGATGAGACTTGAGAGACAACATATCGTTGAAGGGAGAGGTGAGACAATCTACTTCACACACTCTATTCTTAATGAGGTATATTGATTGGTTGGCTAAAGTGCTTTGTGCTTTGTTTATTGTGGCCTATAGGATCAAAGAGATGATAGGTCCAATGAATGTTTTGATCTAAATTACCCCAAAACTATGTACTGTACACATTCTATATGTATGCACCTGGATGGAACATATGCTGATTTGTATAGTGAGCATATAGTTTGAGAGAGAGAGCGAGAGCGAGAGCGAGATTGACAGAGAGAGAGAGAGAGAGAGAGAGAGAGAGAGAGAGAGAGAGAGAGAGAGAGAGAGAGAGAGAGAGAGAGAGAGAGAGAGAGAGAGAGAGAGAGAGAGAGAGAGAGAGAATGACTGGGTGGGTGGGTGGGTGGGTGTGTTTGGCCTCTTAATATTGCTTCATCTTAATTATCACAAATTGTATTTCTTCCGGTGAAGTATAACTAAAAAACAAGGCTGCAATGTTGCTCCCTGTGTGTCTGAGGGTAGACAGTGTGTGTGTGTGTGTGTGTGTGTGTGCAATCTCTCGTGGACAGACTATGTAAACATAACTGGTACCGTAGATCTGTCATGATACAATGGGATGTGTGAGATAACGAGCACCATTAGGTCTTGGATTTCTTGTCACTGGTTATTTGGACAAATCACGATTTCACAGGTGTTAGCATCTTTCGAATTTCTGAAGGAAATGGGACATTTGGCCCATAGACCTGCCCGTAACTTGCAAAGAGAGAGGGTGGAGCTCTTCTTTCCAGTTCCGATCCTCGTTCTATCTCTTCTCTTAACACGCATGGACCCAGAACTTAATTGAGCATCAATTACGCAAGACTTCAGTTCTGGGTTAACTGATATTAGTGTGTATGTAATACCATGGGTTAGCCTACAATTGACTGCAGTGGTTTCCCTGTGAGTCTTTGTGGCACTGAGGCCTGTTGTTTGGCTGCTGAGCTGAGCTCCTGTTCTCTAGCTCAGTCTGAGATTTGGCCATGTGAACACCTTTGGGAGGCCCTTCAGCAGCCAGGCGCCATGGAAATCACTGTGCAAATTCCCAGCAGGCAGCAGAAATTCCAATAATAATGAATGGGGATGTCCAGCGTGTGTCTATTCATTTATCATGGCCAGCTTCCCAACCCCTATCCCCCAGCCCCCAAGCTCCCATAGCCCATAGGAGACCAGAGCAGCATGTATTGTACTAACCCTGGATGTTCCAGTTTATCTACAGTACATCTAGATTTATTAGCAAAACTGAAAGAGATCCTCGCTGCCACCACCACGGCATATCAGACATGTCGTCATGGCCACAGGCCCAGGGAGATAAAGGTCTTTGGTTTGGACATAAATGCCGATGCAGCAGAGAGAGGGGTATATACTGCTGCTGCTGCTGCTGCTGCTGAGGGCGGGGGAAGAAAGCAGGCCAGTCAGCAGAAAGGCCAGTCCAACTAGTGCCCCACGCCAGGGCCCAAAATTACCTCCGACTCAACGAGCCCATTCACAGGCTTATAGAAACACTCGTAGCTGACTAGCAACACAAAAACCACAGCTAACCTCCCCAAAATGCCACTCTTTTGTCTGTCTCCATCACGTGTTGCTGCTTACAGACAGGCACAAATACAGAGAGCAAATAGAGAGAAAGCAGAGAGAGAGAGAGAGAGAGAGAGAGAGAGAGAGAGAGAGAGAGAGAGAGGGATACTTAATTTGGTTAATTTGCAGCGTTCTCGAGAACGTCACAAGGGACAGTCTTTTTTTTTTTAAGATCTAAACTATCTCAATCACATGCAGCATATCTCACAGTGGGAACACATAAAGAGGCTGTCTGTGGTAGCCTAACGTCGAGAGAGTACATCAAATGTTCCAGCTTATACCTTTTTATGCCCGTCTGCAAATCCAATATAGTGGCAGTAAGCTAGTAAAAATGTAAAGGTCCCTGTAATGTGCTGTAAATGTGACAAGGGTGAAGCACCACATCATGTGGTTCCTCCTGATATTTCCATCTTTCATCTCCACCTGGTGACGTCACTGACAGGTGTGAAATACTCAGCATAGGTGTTTCATCAGTCGCCTAACAGAAATGCAGACCCCAACGAATGCTCCAGAGGCAATCCCATCGGGCAAATGCCAGGACGCCACTGACAAAATGCATTATTCACGAACACAGTTCACCAAATCTAGTTCATGCTCCAACGCTGGGCCTAGCTGACTGCATTGGGGATGAGACAATGCAATACAGAAAATAGGATCCAAATGAGCTGTGCTCGGTGGCACGTACATGCAAGAGGACGTTGATTACGAGATGGTCGCTAAACTGTAGCTCATCCACGTCGTACTTCAGTGTCTTAATTCAAATTAAAGTGCTAAGAAAGTCACTCTGCTGTTGGAAAATGTAATAGGGGCTAAATGAACAAATGGCAATTTAGAAATGACATTTTTCCGAGTGTTTAGTTTGGAGATCACAACATTTATTTTTGGAAAAATGGCATGTGAAATTAGGACTGTACACAATATACAGTGAGTTTACAAAACATTAGGAACACCTTCCTAATATTGGCTGGATGTCCTTTGGGTGGTGGATAATTCTTGATAAACACGGGAAACTGTTGAGCGTGAAAAACCCAGCAGCGTTGCAGTTCTTGACACACTTAAACCGTTGCGCCTGGCACCTACTACGATACCCCGTTCAAAGGCCCTTAAATATTTTGTCTTGCCCATTCACCATCTGAATGGCACACATATACAATCCATGTCTCAATTGTCTCAAGGCTTAAAAATCCTTCTTTAACCTGTCTCCTCCCCTTTATCTACACTGATTGAAGTGGATTTAACAAGTGACATCAATAAGGGATCATAGCTTTCACCTGGATTCAGCTGGTCAGTCTATGTCATGGAAAGTGTATTCCCTGATTGCACCTCGTCTTTTCCACTATGGCGGTAATACCCTTCACAATATTTTGTCCTATAATTAGCCAATTATTATATAAAAAGAGAAAGGAACACCATACTAATGCTTTTAAAGTATCATAGCTGGATACTAACCATAATTATGCATGCCTGTGTACTTCTTTCCCCTGTAGGTGGTGTTTAAGCATTTACTATGAATACATTTTCTATAGCCTCAAGGGTAATAAGCAAACAACTGCCATTTTAGCTGGTAAGTGTCTATAGCTTAGTTTTTTCTCAAACTTTTTTCCCATCTTAAGAATCTAAAAACCCATTTATTGTGAGGGAGATGAGGCTTGAGCAGCAATAACCCTGTGTTCAGTAAAAGGAAACTCTTGAGAGAAAGTAAACCGTTTACAGTTGATGTCTGGATGGTACGAAGATGAGGCTAGGCTTTGCCAGACTTCAGCCTTGCTGGAAGGGGTTTTACTAATGCAGAGCACTTCAAACACCATGGAGTGCCATGTGTTTAAGGCTCTGACTAAAATATGTACAACATTCACATGAAAGAAACATGGAGAATGTCGACTTCCTCCAATAATGTCTTTCTGCAAAATAAACTTGTGAAGAAGGCCCTCTGTAGCTCAGTTGGTAGAGCATGGCGTTTGCAATGCCAGGGTTGTGGGTTCGATTCCCACGGGGGGGCAGTATGAAAAATGTATGAACTCACTAACTTTAAGTTGCACTGGATAAGAGCGTATGGAAAATGAAAAGGCTATGAAGTCACATGGGCTACGCTATAGCCAGCAGCCTTACTTTCTAATGGTGACCAACACCCACAACAATTATGTGTTATTGCAGAATATCTAGTCCCCTCCTGAAACAGAGGCTTCAATTAAAGGATGAAAACACACTAACAAATTGCATTGATACCACCTTTCTTTAATTGCTGTTTTCTACAGCTAGCATGTCGAAATTAGCCTTAGTCTTCTCCTTGTTAGGTTACATCATCATATGAGAACCTCTTATTATGAAGGCTTTTGAAGAGCTTTTAGTCACCGAATGAAATGCTGCCTGTTAGCTGCTGCTGGAGGAGGAAAGTTCTGACTGGTCTAAACGGGTCACTTTGAAAGGCTCAAGGAGATACCACATATTTAGAAGTCCATCAGTCTTTGTTTGGTAAATTACATAATTCTAGTGTGTGTTTTCTGGTGCCACAGCATCTAGCGCCTAGCTGGATTACTGTGTCATTGGCGCCAAGAGCTGATAACGGCTAAGCTACATCCTTCTATACTAATCAGCAACATAGCTACTGGGATTTGGGTTCTGCGAGCGGAGCGATCAGGATGGCCGCTTGATACAGCGGCTCAGGCTTTTGGAGGATATTAAACTGACCATATTATTAATAGGATGTCAAGTAGCTCCCTACAGCTCTTTATGAAGACTTTAGCATGGCTAGCTAGTAGGTAACTCAATGCTAATACATCCACGTGAATGGAGAATATCAGACCAATATGATAATATTACACTCATTTTAACTACTAGGGAGCTAACACTTACCACTGTCTTTCACTCTGCTTAGTAGTGTCCTGAGTTTCTTCTGACCACGTGAAACGGACAGATAACGCATTGAAGTAAAAATACCCACTTCTTCGAAGGAGCTCACCAGTAGCATAATATAACCTTGAGCATGTTTCACATCTCCTTCGCTCTCTCTGAGATCAAAGGGAGATAATGAAAACGTATTTATTTGAAGAATTACAACTGTAGTTTTAACTGTAAAACGATGATGGGGCTAACGGAGGGGCCAGTGTGTGTGTCCATATAAAACCCCTGTAACCTCTCCTCCTCCCGTTGGGATTTGACTGTAGCTGGCTGGGCCGGCACCGCCCAGAACCCTTTGGACAACGTTAAATCAATGTTATTAGAAATAACACTGTTGAACTTTGTGTCTTTAACAGCCCCCCACCTCCCATAAAGGTCATCCAGTTTTAATTGCTCTCTACCCTTGTTCAATTTTTAACTGCTGAACATTGCTCACTCTGTCCAATCTGCCGGCTAACGCCTTCCATGAGAGAGGGATGGAAGGAGCGAGGGAAGAAGGGAAAGAGAAGGAGTGCAAGGAAAAGCAATCTATGTGAGGATAGATGCCAGAAGGGCGGATCCTAAGATGCCTTTTCAAAATCAGATTGTGAATAATAAGCCACTTTCCGTGTCCACATTCATTGGACCTTCCTGCAGCAGTGTGTATAACCAAGGTTATTTCCCAGTGACCATACAGTGGAGGGAAACACATTTGGCCAATGTTACACAGCCTTCTGCATCCCTTTCAACTGGGCTACAGTACTGTTAAAGTGCCATCACTTCTGAGGCACTGAGAATTTGACACGGGCCAGCCCTGGAATAGAAGGTTGGGAACAATTCAAGAAATACTGTGCCATCAATGGAAATACTGTGCCATCAATGGAAATACTGTGCCAGCAATGGAAATACTGTGCCAGCAATGGAAATACTGTGCCATCAATGGAAATACTGTGCCATCAATGGAAATACTGTGCCATCAATGGAAATACTGTGCCAGCAATAGAAATACTGTGACATCAATGGAAATACTGTGCCATCAATGGAAAATAACAATATATAATAGAAATACAATTTTGCCAAAACTAATGAATGTGAAAGGAACTTTAGATTCACTGCCAACATAAAATGATATTATTTCACTCATAAAACATATTGAAACAAACAGACACCCACACAAACAAAAATAGAGCCAACAGTCTCACTCTCACATACAGACACACAGTACCACTGACATCAAATCAAATTTTCAAAAACATGGAAGAAAGTGAAAAGCTATTACCCTTAACTCTGCACTGAAATAACTGAAATCACCTTTTGAAAACCACTCTGGTACAATATAAGGGCCATTACTGAGTCCACTCAGATGGAAAAACAAAACAATAAACATGGTAAAAGCAGTTCAAACAGGTCCTATACCTGTATAAGACCTTACTTTAATATACCAGTACTCTAACTGCACTCAGAACATCTGGCTCTAATACAAAACCTTGAAAGAAGAAGGAAGGCCATCAACCTTGCCATCATCAGCTGATCAGTTAAACCCCTGGTGAGGAAGGCAGGGTCCAGGGCTAGAAATGGAGCCAAGCAGAGAGAGGGAACATATTTTTGTTGGCTGCATTACTGGATCACGAGGGGGCTGGCCACTAAAGTGCCTGAGTGCAACCTGTAATGGGGCATTAGCCGGGGCTTTTGATCTGAAACCCAGGACTTCAAAGCTTTTCATTTTACCTCCTTGATCATTTCTGTCAGAATACCTCTGTCATAAAAAACGTTATGGCCAAGAGAAAACAATGATTGGTGAGGTCTCAAATGTGGGCATGTTTTAATTGGGGCTCGTAAGTTTTTTTATCATCACTCATTTTATCAGCAAACAGAAAGGGGACTGTCGCCGGGTTGTTCCTGACAGCAGGGTCTGGCTGGGAGTTTCCAACAGGCCAATATTCTTCATAGTTTAGTGCAGAAAACGTGGTAATTAACTACAATGACCATAATCCATTGCGCACCTACTTGTCGAGTCTGTGTTTCTTTTACACCTGCTATGTAAAAGAGACAGAAGAATGCACAATTGAGGGATAGGGAGTAGTTGCTTCATGAGGGATCTCTACCTGAAAATACATTATCTAAGTCACGTGTCAAATTCATTCCACGGAGGGCCGAGTGTTTGCAGGTTTTCGCTCCTTCCTTGTACTTGATTGATGAATTAAGGTCTCTAATTAGTAAAGAACTCCCTGGTTGTGGTCTTAATTGAAAGGAAAAAACTAAAACCTGCAGACACTAGACCTTCCATGGAATGAGTTTGACCTCCCTGATCTAAGTGATTGATAGTTGGTATTCAGCAGTCATAAAAGTACAGTGGGGAAAAAAAGTATTTAGTCAGCCACCAATTGTGCAAGTTCTCCCACTTAAAAAGATGAGAGAGGCCTGTAATTTTCATCATAGGTACACGTCAACTATGACAGACAAAATGAGGAAAAAAAATCCAGAAAACCACATTGTAGGATTTTTAATGAATTTATTTGCAAAATAAGTATTTGGTCAATAACAAAAGTTTCTCAATACTTTGTTATATACCCTTTGTTGGCAATGACACAGGTCAAACATTTTCTGTAAGTCTTCACAAGGTTTTCACACACTGTTGCTGGTATTTTGGCCCATTCCTCCATGCAGATCTCCTCTAGAGCAGTGATGTTTTGGGTCTGTCGCTGGGCAACACGGACTTTCAACTCCCTCCAAAGATTTCCTATGGGGTTGAGATCTGGAGACTGGCTAGGCCACTCCACGACCTTGAAATGCTTCTTACGAAGCCACTCCTTCGTTGCCCGGGCGGTGTGTTTGGGATCATTGTCATGCTGAAAGACCCAGCCACGTTTCATCTTCAATGCCTTTGCTGAGGGAAGGAGGTTTTCACTCAAAATCTCACGATACATGGCCCCATTCATTCTTTCCTTTACACGGATCAGTCGTCCTGGTCCCTTTGCAGAAAAACAGCCCCAAAGCATGATGTTTCCACCCCCATGCTTCACAGTAGGTATGGTGTTCTTTGGATGCAACTCAGCATTCTTTGTCCTCCAAACACGACGAGTTGAGTTTTTACCAAAAAGTTATATTTTGGTTTCATCTGACCATATGACATTCTCCCAATCCTCTTCTGGATCATCCAAATGCACTCTAGCAAACTTCAGACGGGCCTGGACATGTACTGGCTTAAGCAGGTGGACACGTCTGGCACTGCAGGATTTGAGTCCCTGGCGGCGTAGTGTGTTACTGATGGTAGGCTTTGTTACTTTGGTCCCAGCTCTCTGCAGGTCATTCACTAGGTCCACCCGTGTGGTTCTGGGATTTTTGCTCACCGTTCTTGTGATCATTTTGACCCCACGGGGTGAGATCTTGCGTGGAGCCCCAGATCGAGGGAGATTATCAGTGGTCTTGTATGTCTTCCATTTCCTAATAATTGCTCCCACAGTTGATTTCTTCAAACCAAGCTGCTTACCTATTGCAGATTCAGTCTTCCCAGCCTGGTGCAGGTCTACAATTTTGTTTCTGGCGTCCTTTGACAGCTCTTTGGTCTTGGCCATAGTGGAGTTTGGAGTGTGATTGTTTGAGGTTGTGGACAGGTGTCTTTTATACTGATAACAAGTTCAAACAGGTGCCATTAATACAGGTAACGAGTGGAGGACAGAGGAGCCTCTTAAAGAAGAAGTTACAGGTCTGTGAGAGCCAGAAATCTTGCTTGTTTGTAGTTGACCAAATACTTATTTTCCACCATAATTTGCAAATAAATTCATTAAAAATCCTACAATGTGATTTTCTGGATTTATTTTCCTCAATTTGTCTGTCATAGTTGACGTGTACCTAGTTGACGTGTACCTATCTTTTTAAGTGGGAGAACTTGCACCATTGGTGGCTGACTAAATACTTTTTTTCCCCACTGTATGCCTTATTTACTTTGAAGAACTACTAAAATAGTGATTTTGTCAGACAGCATAGGCAGCAGCTCTATAGAGATGAGATGATTACTTGGAATGAAACAATAAAGTCATCAAATAAAACAAATATAATATACACAACAACTGAAATATTTAAGTAATAAGTGATAAGCAGTAATGGGCAGTCACTACCATCATGGGATGGCATTCAACCCATATAATGAATAGTGCATTTAATGTTAAACAAAATAATCAAAACCAAAATAGAAAACCGTGATTATTTTTTAAATAATCGAACTGAAACCAAACTGACCTCAAAAAGCACTAATCGCGCAGCACTAGTGGTGTGGTATGTGTGTTTGTGTATGTGTGTGTGTGTGTGTGTGTCCTGTACTGTACTCTGTTGTCTTCCCAAGGGACGATATAAGTCATTATCCCAGGGGTTGGGGACAAAACATTTGACACCAGTGGCGACGGCTGTGTCTCTCTCACACCTCCCACCCCAGGTCAGAACTGTTGACAGCGTTAAAATAATGGCCTGCTCTCTGGTCTCCTCTTTCACTGTCTTCTACCATGGTAAACACTATCCATCAGACAAAAGTGCGACAACATGCTGGCTGATGTTAGCCAATGGCACGACACACTGGCTGGGCCGCAAACTGAAGCGAAGGCTTTGACACCTAATTAGACTTGAAAGAGTCCCTTAATATGTTTGTACCTGTATGGGGTATTCAGAAACATCCTAAACCAAACAATCAATCCCCTGTGTGCTTCTAATCAGTGGCAGTAAACTCAAATGAAATGCTCAATTCAATTGTCTAGATTCACTATCGACAGACAGTGGCGTGTGGCTGAGATCGAGAATGATCAATAGGCTGAACACACTCAAAGGCTCAGATCTTCTGATTGAGGGGTAGCATTATCATAAATTAAACCCCAGATAGACATGTAGAGAGAAAATGGTATTGCCGCTGTCAGGAAGTATGTGGCAGATGTACAAAATAAAGGGCAGCGGCATCTGCAAACTCAACCAGACACGATTTGCATCACCACCCAATTCAAATGACCTCTCAGCACAGCAGCTTGTTGGGAGATATTCTCTTTCTATGGAGGTGTGGAAACGGACAGACTGGCGTTCAGCAGTATTTCAGCATTTCCGTTCAGTGAGCGGGTGAATTTTTTTAACGTGCCTGTTTGCTCATTCCAGCCAAAAACCCATCATCCCCAAGTGTTGCAGCGTTTCTGCCAAGTTTCAGGCACTGCACCTCTCAGGTGTTTGACATGGGTGAGCTACTGAGCTTCACTTGACAATGACATTTGTAGGGATGGGTAGGGGAAATTAACTATTTGTCAAGTCATCTATGCTTTGAAGGCATTTTGAGTGTTAAATTAAATCAAACTGGACTTGCCATCATTTCTGTGGCGGTTAGGAGTGGGATTTACACCACTTATAAAACAGAGTGGTGAATATAAAACAGACCAAACTACTTCAGTGGTTTAGCAAAGGTAACAAGGAACAGCTCTTGACCTTTTTACATCATTTGAATAGTCATCATAAAGTGATTGAGAGCTTGTGATGACCAAATAATGAATACATCTATTTAATTAGATGACTATAAGTTCTAAATTAATTTATCACTGGGAGATAAAGCTAGCACAAAGCAGCGCTATGATAATAAAGCAATAAGGCCTGAGGATAAAAGCAATAAGGCACCTTGGGGGTTTGTGGTATATGGCAATATACCACGGCTAAGGGCAGTATCCAGGCACTCTGTGTTGCGTCGTACATAAGAACAGCCCTTAGCCGTGGTATACTGGCCATATACCACAACCCCCCGAGGTGCCTTATTGCTATTATAAACTGGCTACCAACGTAATTAGAACAGTAAAAAAAAAAGAATGTGTCATACCCATGGTATACGGTCTCATATACCACGGCTTTCAGCCAATCAGCATTCAGGGCTCGAACCACCCAGTGTTTTATGCAGGATAAAGAACCTGAATCAAAGAGAGCAATAGAACTTTGATTTGTAACGGACAAAGGGCTTAAAGAGTAAGAAAATAAAGGAGATTTCCCAAGAGCTCCGTGAGAGAGAGAGGGAGCCATTTGCACATTATCAATTCTGATCAAATTAACACGCCTGTATATTTGGGCATGATTAAATTCTGACAAATTGTCCAACCTCCTGCACTTGTGCTCGACATGCAGTTCATTAAATGACACTCTCTCAGAGCCGCCAGCCAGCTCCATCCACCGCAAATAATAAACGTCACGCATGACAGAGGGAACACCCGTTAGGTGGCCCTGTAATCACACACGTGACACGCCACAGCCCCAACACAGCCAGATGAATCCTTGGGCCTGCGAATTGCTCTGCCTAAAAGAGATCATTCTTATTATAAGTGTCTTATAATCCCGCAATGGTATCTCATTAAATATTTAAAAATAATTCAGCCCCCCCAGACCGACCTCGGTGTTGAGTAACGGCACAGACAGACTGTCTCTCCCTGTTAGCCTACACAGTGGCACGCACATCGTCTGAGGATCAAGGCACTCTGACAGAATACAATGAATATTCCCAATTACATGCACTAGTTCCCACTATCTGTTGAACTAGTAATTTGCAGACAAGTGTCCAGACATCGAGGCAGTCTGTTACTCTGAATGTCCCTTAGATATAAACCTGAATAACACTTGGATTCAACAAACAGCCTATTGGCAATATAACAAAACCAATCAATACTATTGTATGTTGTGTGCTGTTCTATGTCATAAATGTGATACCATCAGATCTTTGGCACTGACTCTGAGTTAGAGTACTTTGGCTGCAATTATCATAAAATTACTTTTATGCAATTAAAAACCGCTAATTTGCCAGGAGAAAAGCTTATTGAGGTATTGAACTACTCTCTCCCCACTTTTACTGGAAGAGATGACACTTGTGCCTGCTTTGCATAGCCTCCCTGTCGATCAAACTGATGCAAATGACTACCCCAGGTAAAGACTGATATGGTCCACTGCATCCAATTACAAAAGTAACCACACACACAAACATGCACACGGACGTGCACACATACGCACCCACACACACACACACACACACACACACTGCGAGAGGCAATACGGCTGCTTCTGTGACGTTAAATGCTTATAACAAAACGTGGTTAGCTTGTCCATAGTAAGTGAAAATAGAAAGAACATGCTTAATGTCTTTAGAGTGGTGCATTTAGGCTACCCACAATGTGCTCAAGAAAGAAGACAGAGAAAAATACAACAATGAACGGGACATTGGAACAGTCCCCACTCTCCATGCAATTATGTCACAACGCATAAAGAACAGTTGTGTGCTGCACAAGGAGGAAGGCTGGGTAGGCAGGGAGCAAGCAAATGGGATTCATGCACTATGCGCTTTGCGAGGTGAGACGTGGGGAGATGGAGGGGCGGCGAAAGGGGAAGTGTGAGGAGATGAAAGGTCGGCTCTTGGAGGGGGGGGGGGGGACAAAGGAAGGTGAGTCTGAGTCTCTCTGGAGAAGACCAGAATAAGATAGCTGATAGTCTGCCCCTCTCTCTCTCTCAAAGAGAAAACCAGTGATTTACTAAGGCTAACGAAAACACACAAACACACTCAGATACACGCATACTTGGTGGAACGTACATTAAGTTGTCTAGCAATACTGTTAACACCAATTGTATAGGCCTAATCAGTATACCACAGATTGACATCCAAGTTGTTCTCCCACATAAAACCATACGAAGAAAATGAATATGAACATTGAATCTGATTCAAAAAAATATCAAATTTCTGCTGGGAATGTAATTGAAATACACTATTTTTGTTATATATATATATATATATATATTTTTTTTTTTTTTTTTTTTTTTTTTTTTTCTCGGGGGGAATGGATCAGCTTAATATTGCAGATAGATTGTATCTTCTATCAATATTGTCTGCATCACTTCCAATCCCCCATGTTTATTTTTATTTTTTATATATATATTCCCCTTTATTACTTTTCAACCCCACCATCCTTTCCCTACTTGGAGTAAATTAGTGAACAACAACGCCCAGGCCTCTACTTCCAGTCTATACTTACTATCTACACCTTATGGACAGAGTTAATTTTACAATAATTCTATATATATATATATATATTTTTTTTTTTGCTCCTGAACGTCTTCTACTCTCAACCTCTCCGATCATTTTCATGATGTCCATCCGGTTTGCTTCTAAATGCCATATCTTTCTAACTGTGCTCTTTCCCAAAAGCTCCCAACATACAACCTATATACTTATTATGGACACAGTATGCTTACATTATTAGCTATCTTTGTTATTATTTGTTGTTATTTGTTATTAGTCCCATCCTTCAACTCTATTCAATACCTCCCATCTATCTCTTAACACCATCCATATAGGATTTCTATTTGCCATATATATTTCAACCGTACTGTGATGTTTTACAAAAGTTCTGAACCTTTCTATTCTCATTGCTTCTATAGATTGTGAATTAAAAATAAACATTTTTGCTAAAAGTATTATTATATTATTGATTGATTGACTATGACTTTTCAGATCACCCAGTAATGCTATCTGCAAGGTTAGTTCCAGGTAAATATTGCAATCCTTTAGCCATTCCTGGACCTGTGTCCAAAAACAAGCTACAAATGGACAGAACCAAAACAAATGATCTAATGATTCTGTCTCTTCACAGCAAAATCTGCAGAGCTGGGAAGATTGTATCCCCCATATAAATAACATTCTATTGGTAGCAAGAATTTTATATAATAATTTAAATTGAAAGATTCTAATTTTTGAATCCGGTGTCGTTTTGCGTGTCAGTTCATAAACACTATGCCATGGGATCGGTACGTCAAAGATCTCTTCCCAACTATTTTGCAATCTATATGGGACGGCTGTCAATCCTTTGGTCCTTAAGTGAAATACACTATTAATAAAAATTCCATATGGACACAGCCGACTTGTATTTCAGATTTCTATATATTGACAAACAGACAAAACATTTCTCATTATCAATAGATTAAGCAGACAGTATCCCCCTCACTCCACCTACCTTCCCACCCCCATTAACACCACCCACCCATTAACCCCTGTACCACACACAATGGGGCATTGCACAGGAAAAACTCTCTGATCCCGACACCAAAATAAACTCTAGTTTTCTGAGGGGCCTGTCAGAAAACAGAAATAGATAAAGAGTAGGGAAATAAATAACACTCCTCAAAACAATGACTCTCGCGAAAGAGAGAGAGGGTTCTTCAAAGAAAGTAGAATTAGTGCAGCTGCCAATAGACAGGTAGGGTAGGGTAGGGTGTGCATTCGCCAGCCACCACACGTTTGAGTCAATGCGTGTTAAATTTCGCTTGAAACACAATTACTGCAATAAAAAAGAAGAATACACACAGGGAAGATTAAAGGACGCACGCAATGTTTCTCTCAAAAGCTTTAAAATTCAACACATATACAGGCTTTTCAGACACATGACAGCTTGTTATGCGCCTGCTCAAGTTGAAGAAAGCAGAGGAGAGCTGAGCAGGGAGGAAAGCAAAGCATGCATCTGTATGAATATCCAAACACCTTCTCAATGTGTCTGTCAACTCCACTGAGCCCTTTGTGTTGTATTGTGGGTTTCCTAAAGATATCAAGCTACAACAACTGGGACACAACACACCATAACAGACACAGCATCTCATCTCATTACAAACCTACTTCGACCTGCTTGATTGTAGATTCCATCCCCCTTCATCCCCCACACAAAGTTAGTGGCTCAAAGGAGATCAACCAACTGAGTGCAATGAAATTGAGAGGGGGGAGGTGGGGAAGTGGGGGTGGAGGAAGTGAGACTGGAAGGGATGGAGTATAGGGGGTAGTGGGATCATCCATCTGTGCAAGCAATTCATGTCTGTATACTTTGAAATTGATGGCACAGACTTCTGTAATAGCGCTGATGGTCGGTCGCCTCTCTGTTCAAGGAAATAAATAAAGAAATACTGCGTTTGTAAAGGAACCTATTTGAGATATCCTGTAGACGGTGTTATGCGCAGTCGGTGTTGTATGTAAGTAACGTAAGCCGTCCCCGTATATAATAATAAGCCATTTAGCAGACGCTTTTATCCAAAGCGACTTACAGTCATGCGTGCATACATTTTTTTTGTGTACATGTGGTCCTGGGGATCGAACCCACTACCTTGGCGTTACAAGCGCCGTGCTCTACCAGCTGAGCTACAGAGGACCAGGAGCTACAGAGGACCAGGAGTGTCCCCTGTTATATGCAAGATGAAGGGAAAAACACTGCAGGTCAGTAGAAATGAAACATGAGAATATCTCATGTACAGAGGAGGTAGTTATATATCTGCCATCTTTCTCTCCCATGAAACTTCTGAAGCTCAGATGTAGCATTCATTCTTGAGAGACGACAGGGACACATCTTTCAGTTAAGGCCTGCTGCTTGATTTCATATGCATGACTTTCTTTTTACTTGGCAGCAGAAGCCATTTAAAACATTCCCAACCTACAAATTGATGTACTGTAATGTTGCAGAGTGAGACTCAGGTTAATCTAAGTAACACAGCACCAGGATTTGGTCATTGAGGATGCACAAACAATCATTTAGACCCTTTCTAAAGGCCTCTTATCAAACAGACTGTCATATTTTATCCCTTTTCAAAGATGCTTGTTTGAAAATAAAATGCGTAATTTTATAAGAATGCAATACATATTTGCACATGCCACAGATGGGACGTGTGAATGTTTAAGATTTCCCTGTATTTTATAGGAGAGCACTATAGCTTTACTAACAGCGAAGGATATGATTAAACCATGCTGTTACATATGGCTATGATGGTGTGAGTACAACTGTATTGCTACATTATGTATAAATGTATGGCTCCAGCTGCATGCGACTAGCCTGCAGGTATTGGCTGGAGTCCTGTATGTAAAGTGGTTCAGATGGCTAGGTCATTTACCTAACGGTAGGGGGATATATACACTGAGTGTACAAAACATTAGGAATAATAATAATAATAAAATTGAGTTGCACCCCCTTTTGCCCTCAGAACAGCCTCAATTAGTCGGGGCATGGACTCTACAAGGTGTCGAAAGCGTTCCACAGGGATGCTGGCCCATGTTGACTCCAATGCTTCCCACAGTTGTGTCAAGTTGGCTGGATGTCCATTGGGTGGTGGACCATTCTTGATAAACACGGGAAACTGTTGAGTGTGAAAAACCCAGCAGCGTTGCAGTTCTTGACACACTGAAACCGGTGCGCCTGGCACCTACTACCATACCTTGTTCAAAGGCATTTAAGTATTTTGTCTTGCCCATTCACCCTCTGAATGGCACACACACACAATCCATGTCTCAATGTATTTAAGGCTATATTAGACCAAATGGTAACACTGGTAGGGTAATACGTATATCTGTATGACTGTATGGTTGGTTGGCTGTATGGCTCATTCAGATAACTAATAGTGACAATGGTAGTGAATATGTATACAGTATCTATCCATATGTAGGTCCCCTGTAACTCAGTTGGTAGAGCATGGTGCTTGCAACGACAGGGTTGTGGGTTCGTTTCCCACGTGGGGCCAGTATGAAAAATGTATGCACTCACTAACTGTAAGTCACTCTGGATAAGAGCGTCTGCTAAATGACTAAAATGTAAATGTACGGGTATGTCTGTATAGCTGTATAGCTGTATGGCTGTCTGGCCATAGACGGCGGCTCATGGGAACAGTCTGTCGCCTGGCTGTTGATAGCAAGATAGCGCTAGCGCCGGGAGAAAGGGGTCATGATGGCATCCGCCCGCCGTGTGGAGCCGTGTGGTGCTACAAACAAGTCATCACGTTCTCACTCATCAAGACAGCATACCACTTCGTGGCTGAGCCGTTGTTGTGCCTAGATGTTTCCACTTCACAATAACAGCACTTAGAGTTGACTGGGGCAGCTCTAGCAGGGCAGAAATTTGATGAACTGACTTGTTGGAATCCTATGACTGTGCCACGTTGAAAGTCACTGAGCTCTTCAGTACGGGCCATTCTACTTCCAATGTTTGTCAATGGGGATTGCATGGCTGTGTGCTCAATATTATACACCAGTTGTGGCTGTAATAGCCGAATCCACTAATTTGAAGTGGTGTCCACATTTTGTTACGTTACAGCCTTATTCTGACACTGCCTGGTATAGAGGCCTTGATTTGCAGGAAGCTTGGCCCCAGTGATGTACTGGGCCGTACGCACTACCCTCTGTAGTGCCTTGCGGTCGGAGGCCGAGCAGTTGCCATACCATGCAGTGATGCAACCAGTCAGGATGCTCTCTATGGTGCAGGTGTAGAATTTTTGAGGATCTCTTTTCAGTCTCCTGAGGGGGAACAGGCTTTTTTGTGCCCTCTTCACAACTGTCTTGGTGTCTTTGGACCATGATAGTTTGTTGGCGATGTGGACACCAAGGAACTTGAAGCTATCAACCTGCTCCACTACAGCCCCGTCTATGAAAATGGGGGCGTGCTCAGTCCTCTTTTTCCTATAGTCCATAATCATCTCCTTTGTCTTGATCACGTTGAGGGAGAGGTTGTTATCCTGGCACCACACGGCCAGGTCTCTGACCTCCTCCCTATAGGCTGTCTCATCGTTGTAGGTGATCAGGCCTACCACCGTTGTGTCGTAGACAAACTTAATGACGGTGTTGCAGTCGTGCTTGACCACGCAGTCATGGGTGAACAGGGAGTACAGGTTGAGACTAAGCACGCACCACTGAGGGGCCCCCGTGTTGAGGATCAGCGTGGCAGATGTGTTGTTGTCTACCCTTACCACCTGGGGGCGGTCCGTCAGGAAGTCCAGGATCCAGTTGCAGAGGGAGGTGTTTAGTCCCAGGGTCCTTACCTTAGTGATGAGCTTTGAGGGCACCATGGTGTTGAACGCTGAGCTGTAGTCAATGAACAGCATTCTCACGTAGGTTTTCCTTTTGTCCAGGTTGGAAAGGGCAGGGGTGAGTACAATAGAGATTGAGTCATCTGTGGATCTGTTGGGGCGGTATGCAAATTGGAATGGGTCTAGGGTTTCTGGGATAATGGTGTTGATGTGAGCCATGACCAGCCTTTCAAAGCACTTCATGGCTACAGACGTGAGTGCTACGGGTCGGTAGTCATTTAGGCAGGTTACCTTAGTGTTCTTGGGCACAGGGACTATGGTGGTCTGCTTGAAACATGTTGGTATTACAGACTCAGTCAGGGACAAGTTGAAAATGTCAGTGAAGACACTTGCCAGTTGGTCAGCGCATGCTTGGAGTAAACGTCCTGGTAATCCGTCTGGACCTGCGGCCTTGTGAATGTTGACCTGTTTAAAGGTCTTACTCACATCGCTACGGAGAGCGTGATCATAGAATCGTCCGGCACAGCTGATGCTCTCATGCACGCTTCAGTGTTACTTGCCTCGAGCATAGAAGTAATTTAGCTTGTCTGGTAGGCTCGTGTCACTGGGCAGCTTCCCTTCTGTAATAGTTTGCAAGCCCTGCCACATCCAACGAATGTCGGAGCCGGTGTAGTACGATTCAATCTTAGTCCCGTATTGACGTTTTGCCTGTTTGATGGTTCATTGGAGGGCATAGCAGGATTTCTTATAAGCGTCTGGGTTAGAGTCCCGCTCGTTGAAAGTCGCAGCTCTACCCTTTAGCTCAGTGCGAATGTTGCCTGTAATCCATGAATTCTGGTTGGGTTATGTATGTATGGTCACTGTGGGGACTGCTATGGGATCCCCTATGGCTCCTAACTATGCTAATTTGTATGTGGGTTACATTGAGAAACAGTACATTTTCAATCCTCTCAAAAATGTTTTCTTGCCTAACATTATTATTTGGAAACGGTACATTGATGATATTTTTGTTCTATGGAGGGGTGATTTAAAACAGCTCCAGGCATTCCATGCTTTTCTTAACTCTTGTTCTGAGCACCTGAGATTTACTATGCAATCTGACACACGTCAAATCAGTTTCCTTGATCTTCTGATTTTGTGTGAGGATAATGTTCTATACACTGATCTTTACATGAACCTACTGATCGTAACAGTTTGTTGAGGGCTGATAGTTGTCACCCGCTTCCCTTGAAAAACAGTTTGCCCTACAGCCAATTCTGTTGAATCAAAATAATTTGTAAAAGGAGAGGGGTTACATGGTCAGATTAATACTGCCATTGAGAAAGTTCAAAACAAATCGAGACTTCATCTCTTTCAGGGACAGTCTCGCAAAAATAAGCATTATTGCGTTCTAACTACACACTATTCAAAGTGCTCTGAACAAATGAAGGGAATCGTTCACAAACATTGGCACATTCTAAGATCCGATGACAGTATTGGTAATGTGTTTTCGGACCCTCCATTGGTTGTATTCTCGCGGGGCAGAAACCTCAGAGATCAATTGGTAAACTTGGATTTATCACCCCTAAATATCCCTGCACAACGTCTATTTGCGCCTCTACTGGATGGAAACTACAAGTGTAACGGCTGCGCTCAATGCAATGGCACTTACAAATGTAGATCCTTTAAACACCCCCAAACAGGGAAACAGATCCCAATCAAAGGTGTTATTACGTGCTCCACTAAGGCAGTTATTTATCTTATAACTTGTCCTTGTGGTAAACATTACGTGGGTAAAACAAAGCGCAAATTAAAAGTATGAATCTCGGAGCATCGTAGCACCATTAGGTGCAAAAACGCCACATACCCAGTCGCTGCCCACTTTTTGGAAGCGAACCACTCGATTTCGTCCCTACGTTATATCGGCATCGAACATGTCACCCTCCCTAGGAGAGGGGGTGACCTCAACAACTTATTGTTAAAACGTGAGGCTGCCTGGATCTTTAATTTAAAGACCTTTGCTCCCTTCGGTCTCAACGTAGACTTTGATTTGAAGCCATTCTTGTGATTATTGTGATTTTGCTATTCATTGTAAATGTTTGTGGGCCTATGTAGCCAAGTTGTATCTATGATCGTATGCTATCCATGTTTTTTTGTATGTTCTGTTTATCTGTGAATTAACCAATGCTATTAGGCCACACCCGGCCATGATTACAGACACCTGCGTGTGTCCTTTGACACTATATAAACTAGTGGGCAGATTACCCACTCGCCGTCGGATCCTTACAAGGAACCCCGACCTACGTCAACAATATCTCTGTCTCTTTCTCATGCGAATGACGGGGATTTGGGACAAGTCGGGTGTCTGAAGAAAATATTTTTTGTGTCCGACTCGTTAAAGAAAAAATCTTTGTCCAGTACGAGGTGAGTAATCGCTGTCCTGATACCCAGAAAGCTTTTTTCGGTCATAAGAGATGGTGGCAGAAACATGATGTACAAAATAAGTTACAAATAACGCGAAAACACACACACAATAACACAATTGGTTAGGAGCCCGTAAAACGGCAGCCATCTACTCGTTTTTCTTTTTACTGTGCATTCGGAAAGTATTCAGACCCCTTGACTCTTTTTCACATTTTGTTACGTTACAGCCTTATTCAAAAATTGATTAAATCGTTTTTTCCCCTCATCAATCTACACACAATACTCCATAATGACGAAGCAAAAACAGGTTTTTAGACATTTTTGCTAATGTATAAAAAAGAAAAGAAATGAAAAATCACATTTAGATACACTACCAGTCACAACTTTGGACACACCTACTCATTCAAGAGTTTTTATTTATTTTAACAATTTTTTACATTGTAGAATAATAGTGAATATATCAAAACTATGACATAACACATATGTAGTATTTTTGTAGTAACCAAAAAAGCGTTAAACAAATCAAAATATAGTTTATATTTGAGATTCTTCAAATAGCCACCGTTTGCCTTGATGACAGCTTTGCACACTCTTGGCATTCTCTCAACTAGCTTCACCTGGAACGCTTTTCCAACAGTCTTGAAGGAGTTCCCACATATACTGAGCACTTGTTGGCTGCTTTTCCTTCACTCTGCGGTCCGACTCATCCCAAACCATCTCAATTGGGTTAATTGTGGAGGCCAGGTCATCTGATGCAGCACTCCATCACCCTCCTTCTTGGTCAAATAGCCCTTACACAGCCTGGAGGTGTGTTGGGTCATTGTCCTGTTGAAAAACAAATGATAGTCCCACTAAGCCCAAAACAGATGGGATGGCGTATCGCTGCAGAATGCTGTGATAGCAATGCTGGTTAAGTGTGCCTTGAATTCTAAATAAATCACAAACAGTGTCACCAGCAAAGTACCCCCACACCATAACACCTCCTCCTCCATTCTTTAAGGTGGGAACTACACATGCGAAGATCATCTGTTCACCCACACCGCAGCTCACAAAGACACGGCGGTTGGAACCAAAAATCTCCAATTTGGACTCAAGACCAAAGGACAGATTTCCACCGGTCTAATGTCCATTGCCCGTGTTTCTTGGCCCAAGCAGGTCTCTTCTTATTATTGATGTCCTTTAGTAGTGTTTTTTTTTGCAGCAATTCTACCATGAAGGCCTGATTCACACAGTCCCCTTTGAACAGTTGATGTGCCTGTGACTTGAACTCTGTGAAGCATTTATTTGGGCTGGTAACTCTAATGAACTTATCCTCTGCAGCAGAGGTAACTCTGGGTCTTCCATTCCTTTGGTGGTCCTCATGAGAGCCAGTTTCATCATAGCGCTTGATGGTTTCTGCGACTGCACTTGAGGAAACGTTCAAAGTTGTTGACATTTTCCGTATGTCTTAAAGTAATGATGGACTGTCATTTCTCTTTGCTTATTTGAGCTGTTCTTGCCATAATATGGACTTGGTCTTTTACCAAATAGGGCTATCTTCTGTATACCCCCCCCTACCTTGTCACAACACAACTGATTGGCTCAAACACATTAAGAAGGAAAGAAATTCCACAAATTAACTTTTAACAAGGTACACCTGTTAATTGAATGCCAAGAGTGTTCATAGCTGTCATCAAGGCAAAGGGTGGCTATTTGAAGAATCTCAAATATAAAATATTTTTTGATTTGTTTAACACTATTTAGGTTACTACATGATTCCACATGTGTTATTTCATTGTTTTGATGTCTTCGCTATTATTCTACAATGTAGAAAAAAATTAAAAATAAAGTAAAACCCTTTAATGAGTAGGAGTGTCCAAACTTTTGACTGGTACTGTTAGTATTCAGACCCTCTGCTCAGTACTTTGTTGAAGCACCTTTACAGCCTCGAGTCTTCTTGGGTATGACGCTACAAGCTTGGCACACCTGTATTTGGGGAGTTTTTCCCATTCTTCTCTGCAGATCCTCTCAAGCTCTGTCAGGTTGGATGGGGAGCGTTGCTGCACAGCTATTTTCAGTTCTCTACTGATATGTTTGATCGGGTTCAAGTCCGGGCTCTGGCTGGGTCACTGAAGGACATTTAGAGACTTGACCCGAAGCCACTCCTGCGTTGTCTTGGCTGTGTGCTTATGGTCGTTGTCCTGTTGGAAGGTGAACCTTCGCCCCAGTCTGAGGTCGTGAGCGCTCTAGAGCAGGTTTTCATCAAGGATCTCTCTGTACTTTGCTCCGCTCATCTTTCCCTCGATCCTAACTAGTCTTCCAGTCCCTGCCGCTGAAAAGAACCCCACAGCATGATGCTGCCACCACCACGCTTCACCGTAGGGATGGTTACCTCCAGACGTGACGCTTGGCATTCAGGCTAAAGAGTTCAATCTTGGTTTCATCAGACCAGAGAATCTTCTTTCTCATGGTCTGAGAGTCCTTTAGGTTCCTTTTGGTAAACTCCAAGCGGGCTGTCATGTGCCTTTTACTGAGGAGTGGCTTCTGTCTGGCCACTCTACCATAAAGGCCTGATTGGTAGAGTGCTGCAGAGATGGTTGTCCTTCTGGAATGTTCTCCCATCTCCACAGAGGAACTCTGGAGCTCTGTCAGAGTGACCATCGGGTTCTTGGTCACCTCCATGACCAAGGCCCTTCTCCCCCGATTGCTCAGTTTGGCCGGGCAGCCAGCTCTAGGAAGAGTCTTGCTGGTTCCGAACTTCTTCCATTTAAGAATGATGCAGGCCACCATGTTCTTGGGGACCTTCAATGATGCAGACATTTTTTGGTACCCTTCCCCAGATCTGTGCCTCGACATAATCCTGTCTCGGAGCTCTACGGACAATTCCTTCAACCTCATGGCTTGGTTTTTGCTCTGACATGCACTGTCAACTGTGGGACGTTATATAGACAGATGTGTGCCTTTCCAAATCATGTCCAATCAATTGAATTTACCACAGATGGACTCCAATCAAGTTGTAGAAACATCTCAAGGATGATCAATGGAAACAGGATGCATCTGATCTCAATTTCGAGTCTCATAGCAAAGGGTCTGAATACTTATGTAATTTTTTATACATTTGCAAACATTTCTAAAAACCAGTTTTTGCTTTGTCATTATGGGGTATTGTGTGTAGATTGATGAGGGAAAAAAACATTTTCATCTATTTTAGAATAAGGCTGTAACGTAAAAAAATGTGGAAAAAATCAAGGGGTCTGAATACTTTCCGAATGCACTGTATATACTGTATATGCACGGCAATGGACAAGCACTAAATATTGACAATAAGCCCCAGAGAGAATAGCACTGATGCCTCTATCTCTCTGATTATGATGTTAATAGAAACAGGCTGTTTATATTGACAGAAAAAAACTGTTGTCTCATTCTTGTTTTTTACCATGCTGACTGGGTCTTTTTTAGTTTTTTTTTGTTGCAAAGGCACACTGTCCGTTCTGAAAATTAAGTATCATTAAACACAATAATTGTTCGGCAATTAGAAAATGCTTTTAGACCATGCCTGGCGAGCATTTTACCCAGCTGTTAAGTGGGTTGAAGAGCTTCAGGAGAGCAGAATGAATACACCTGTGTCACTCTGAAGACCAAATCCACTGAGAGAGGGAGAGAGAGAGATACAGAGAGAGATAGAGCGATACACAGAGAGAGAAAGAGAGAGATACAGAGAGAGATAAAGAGAGAGATACAGAACGAGATACAGAGCGAGAGAAGGAGAGAGAGAAACAGACCAGAAGGGCGGAGGGAACATTTTAGTCATTTTAGCAGGCGCTCTTATCCAGAGCGACTTACAGTTTTAGTGAGTGCATACATTTTTCATACTGGGACACAAGAGAGATGAGTGAGATAGAGACAGTAGGACATGAAGAGTTTAATTCCAAAATGCTATATATCTATTTTCAATTAAGCTTTTTTTGGTTTAAAGTAATTATGATCGAGATTGGTGTGTTTTTTCACTATCTAATCATGACAGACATATAGTTGTTTGAAACCTATCACTAGATGGTTTCATTTCAGAGAGACAAATAATCACATACTGTTGCAAAACGAGATATAACTGCCTCACTCTCAGAGAACAAAGTAACACTGCAAGATTTTACACAGTCAAATGTGACGAATAATTTCATTTTTAATAAAGAACTGTACAAATTATACATTTGTGACGTCAATATTAAAAAATATATAATTCAAAATGAATCAATAAAACAATATGAGATCTGGGCTCTGGTCAAAAGTAGTACACTATATAGGGAATAGGTTGCCATTTGGGACAAGGCCTAACTCTAACCAAACACTATAGCATGAGGCTAGATTTATGATGTGATAGATTTATATGTTAAATATAGAGGATAAGAATTACTTTGGATGAAAAAATGTGAAAAATGTGTGTATATAGCATTTTGGAAATAAACTCTTCATATAGAGACAGAAAGCGAGACAGAAAGCTAGAGAGAGAAAAAAAGAGAGAGATGTGTTATGTTTGGTCTGGCTAGCCTTGTCATCCTTCCATCCTGCCTAACCGGTCCCTCCCTCTAGGGCAAACTGACAAACTAGTTCACAGCGTGTCATGACCACGGTGGAAAAGAGCTTGATCAGGAAGACATCCCACTGCCATTAGAGCTCCTCTGTCTGTATGTCTGTCTGTCCGTCTGTGTTTACTGAGTGGCCCTTTCTTTTCTCTATGAACAGCTCACACACAATGAGTTATTAAACATCAAACCACAAAGTTTGTCGTAGACTAATCCACTGGCCAGTTCCTTGTTTTTCACAGGAGGTGGAGGCGGGCACAGACAGAGAGATGCTAACTGCTACTGAGAAACATGATGAAGAATATATAAAAAATAATCTAATTTGACACAATGCTGATTATGATATTTGTTTATATAATTTAAGGAAGAGTGATTCTAGGCTGTTAGTGTTGTTGTATTGAGGGAAGACACTTGCACTTGCAAGTATACCCTAGCCTTGAATGTGATCCGGGTTGCTACTAAGTATGCTGTTCTCATTCTCGGGGTAAGGGTGGGGAAATCTAAACTTGGCAGCGGCTGGCCCGCAGCTATAACATAGACTGACTGGGTACAAGGCTGCCACTTCGCTTCCGGGTTGGAAATAGTTGGCGGATTAAATTGTGCCAGGTGGTGTCCCATTTTCTTAAAAAGTCCCCTGCCAGGCCTCATGGTACAAGAACAGCAATTTTAGAGACTGGGATTCTGGGATTGAACCTATTCTTCCGAACATGTGAATAGCAGCCGACCAGGAGCCTAGACTGTGGCTAGTCCTGTTAGCCAGATTACTGATCAAGGCTCTTCAGAGGCAGGCTCATGGCTCCAAGGCAGGTCTGTCTGTCTGTCCGTCCTATAGTTATCCAGAGGCCTCTGACTGTTCAGGGGAACTACTGGAGCTTGTGCATTTCACTACTCTAAGCTCATCGTCGTCTTTATTGGATTATAGAGCGCTTGCTATGCATACTAAAAGTAATTTTAGTTTGTTTTCATTAAGCACTGGTGATTGTTATGTGTGTGTGTTTTCTGTTTCTTCTTCTTCCTATTCCTCCCTCTGTTTTCTCTATTGTCTAGGATTATATCGCTCGGACAGATACTGAAGAAATTCAAGATGTGCGGCCTAATAACTCACATCACATGAATTCAATAACACATGCATATAGCCCTCCATGGTTGTTAATGGGTGTAGTAAAACCAACTTTAATATCCCAGTGTGCTAGAAACGCTAATCTTCAGCGCTAAGGCCCGGAAGGCCTGGGAGGCAGTAACTCACCATCCACAGCAGTGTTACCTCTGGAGAAATGTGTAGCAGTGGGGGGAAAAGGTCGTGGAGGGGGGCGGGGGTTTGAAGGGGGACTCCCTCCCTTGTATTTAGGGGTCCGGGTCACCCCCGGATAACTTTTATGTAGAAGGTATGAGAAGCTCAGTTCAGGTGACTTTTTAAATGGACATTGTCCTCCAAAATGAATGAAAATACAATTATGCTGACACCATCTAATATAATTTCCACCTCCAGAAATTAGCCCAATAACATATTGGTAAAATGATTTTATATTGCCTATGCATATTATCAGGTATGCTATTAGCAATAAGTATTATCACCTGTAGCCCAACTGATGAAGCATAGTGGCTATAAATAAATAGGCTGAAGTATGGGGTTGCCTATCTGCATTTACCCTATTGAGTTAATCAGTAGCTAGATCCCAAATGTGATCTTTTCCCTACTTAGCATTATATTGATTAATTGTTTGTCCCAAAAAACTTGCATAAACACAGTGAATATAATGTATAATGTTAGGGTAACTTGGGGTAATCCCCCCCCCCCGCCTGTACTTCTCACAGAAACCACTTAATGTCACCATTCCCCGCCCCCCCCCAACACTTTCCTTGGTTGCTACTACTCTTGCTCAAATAAAAATGTCATATGTCTCATTATAATTTTTTAAGTCACTCCCCCCCAAAAAATATATATTTTTAAGGAATATTTATCTCGCATAGAACACACGGGACAAGAACACAAAACAACAAGCCAGCCAGGTAAATAAATAAACTATTCTACTATGGGTTTGTCAGATTTTTCGATTCATTACTCGTTTTTTTTGCAAAGGAAAAGTAAATGTGGACTGTTTTAGCATCTTCAAAGTGCGCCTAGGCAGAAATATTTGTTCATGTTCCATATTTTTTTGCCGTGGCGGCAATGATTTTGCCGTTGCTCAGCACCACAGTTAAATGACTGCAGCGGAAACACTGATCCATACACAGTATGCATTTCTGTATTTCTCACACTACTAGGGTGTCACACTATATGGCTTTATAGAGAAGGTGTTGGGCTTCTCCTACACAGACCTAGCTCCAATAAACATTCCATACAGCAGACACTTTTACAGTCTTACCATTTCTATGTCAGTATTGTGCCTCCAGAAAACCCTCTAAACGTCGTAACACTGTCTGCCTCGCCATAATCATTCCACGGGAAAATATGACATTGACAGTGAAGGTAGGCGCTGGCTGCTCACGTGATGGCACGACTTGGCATCGACAGGCAAGGGCATCGAGTCATCATCACCACCACCAGCACTGTGGCTTTAGTATTTTTTGTACAGAGTAATTGCATGGCAGAAACCATAGATGGCAGGTCAGGCAAGAACACAGTCCAAGCCTGGTCTGTTGATGCTACGCTACTACGCTCTAAACCCCCCAAAACAGATGGCTGGAATCACGTTGTTGGGAGATGAGTAAAAGGCGTCAACATATGAGCAAAAAAAATAGTGTCCCATTACATATCAGATCATGGGCTCTGAAAATATAGAATTATTGACCTAGTTATTGACTTATGTGGCCTCTCTGTTAAAAAATAAAACAGGTTGGAAAAAAACCTAACGTCCAGCGATTGCAGTAGCAAGCGACTCCATCAGCTGTTTATTTTATATTTATTTCCCCAACAGTTGCCTTCCAGCAGACATCAGAGTGACGTCTGGAAATGACAACGTTTCACAAACACAACAGCACTGTGCATTTAAAATCCCACTACAGTACGAATCCATGCTGGGCTATTGAAAAATCAGAATGGCTTGATTTTTCACCTCACGTCAAAATATTGTTACAAGCGAAAGAAAGTGGTCTAGCTATCACACTGGCACAGACTCAGAACATTTTGATATTGTTGTCTGTTGTCATAAATATTGTGCTTTTGTGCTGCCAAACATTCATGTATGTAGTGTGATAAAATTCTAGGAACTAAAAACTGGAATACACAGACACCAATCGTCAACAACAACAAAATCCCATTTAAGTCAAACTTTTTTTAACCCACATTGATTCTGAAGGTCTTTTCTCTCTGTATCCCTCCACTTAAACTCCCTCATTGTCCTGTTCAGAGCCAACCACATGAAAGCAAAAGGAAAGAGGGAAGAAAACACAGAAAATCCATTAAGACCACCTGTGCTTCTCTTCCAACTTCCATTAGCGATGTGTCAAAAAGAACCAGCAGGACTAGCATCCCCATATTTATTACGTACCAAGGGAGGGGCATAACATATGTTTTCAGCCTCTAGTTAGAGACAGCAGGGGAAAATCTAGTCAATGAATGTTAACTTGGTTTCACGGGGGGCACTTCAGAGGTATCACGTTTCTCAGAAGAGACTACTAAAACCATTAGAACTGGTAATGGTTACTGCAAGCAAGATAGCGAGGTTCTGGGAAAGGCCGTTGTCCGTGAACCTCAACACCACGTTGGCCCATATTCTGTTACATGTCCCCCATCCTTTATGTAGTGGGGACAATGACAGAGTTTGGGAGTGGGGCCCGGAGGCACGGTGGGGAGCTCTAGTTACCATCTCTAGTCTGACAACACCAGGCAGCTTGTGGGGTTGGTGTTCTAGTTCAGTTACATGACAACCAGTTTAGCCTGGTGGTGTCGTTCTCCAGAAAACAACATGTTAACGTGTAACACACACACAGATGGAGCACAAACACACACACATGAGTAACACTGACAAACGAAAAATATGTGTGTGTGTGTAGGAAAATTTTTGAATCATCCCTCTCCTTTGTGCTCTCATTTACATAATGTGGGAGTGAGAGGGCAAAGGTCGTCCCCAAAACAAACCGAACCCTTTGAGACGACTCACAATGGGCAGTAGCTGAATGTCTTCAGCGTAGTCGGCAGGGGAGAGTATCTCCTACCAGACAGTGTTCCCTCACTTCCTCCCTCCCTCCCCACCCACCACTCTGCTGCTATATCACATTATTCTCTCTGTTCACATTTTGAAAAGTATCTGCGAGCCAGCACTGTAACCTGAAGCAGTCTTTTGGATATTAGTTTTCGAGAGAGAGAGAGAGAGAGAGAGAGAGAGCGAGAGAGAGAGAGAGAGAGAGAGAGAGAGAGAGAGAGAGAGAGAGAGAGAGAGAGAGAGAGAGAGAGAGAGAGAGAGAGAGAGAGTCAAACTGCATCTAAAAACAAAAGGGAGGAATAAGGGGGTAAAAAGAGCTAAAGCTTTGCACTGTTCATAGCTTTCCTGTAAAGTAACATCCCAGTGCAGTGCAAGGAGGAAACCATGGAGTTGTATTCAGATGTCCCATTAAAAGAGATTAATCTGTCAGAAACAGAGACCTCCACTGTGATCTCTACAGCCTGTCCAGGGAGCAGTTTCACCGTAAAGGGCCAAAAACCCAACAAAACAGACTCATGTAAATAAAACTTTCCATTGGATCTCTCTCTGAGCCGCAGCCAAAGAGGAGCCATAACATTCCACTAAAGTACTGGAAACAATGGAGTTTAAAGAGAGAGAGCGAGGGGAGATTTATTTTTTGTGTGTGCCGTAACCAAGGGCAACAGAGTGGCGAGTGGAGAGGATACCTTATCCAAACACCATTTTAATTACAAATTGATCCGGATGTTCGCTTCATTTGAAATTCACTTAACACCACTAGGAAGAGAACCCAGCATTAAACCAAGCATTTAATCAGATTTCTTCTTCCTCAAAATCTTCAAAACAGTTATTGTTTTCCAGTTGGGGACTTAAGCCTCAAAAGAAGAGGCGCATTGAACCGGAAGCCCTAATGATTAAGTATGCAGACTTCTGTCGTTCAACGGAATGGAATATTAGCAACAGCGGATATCTTAAATCGTCTGCAGCTGGGATGCTAGCGGATATTGTGCTGCATTCTGGGTTGGGGTGGGCAGTGAGGCAGGTTGTGTGTGTGTGTGTGTGTGTGTGTGTGTGTGTGTGTGTGTGTGTGTGTGTGTGTGTGTGTGTGAGAGAGGAAATAGCAGCTGTGGCGACTCGGGATACCAGGAGGTCCCTGGACAACTAACATTTGCCTTTCTGCCTCACTGGAATCCTCATTAGGAGGTCATCACCATTCCACGGACCCCCGGCCCATGGACCCCCAGCCCAACGCAAACAAGAGATAGAGTGAGAGGTGCTTGTGGCTGCTGCCACGCCTTGGCTATGTGACACCTCAACCCCTTCACGCTGCCCAGTGTAAATCCAATCTCTATTTCAAAAAAGGAACCGTAGTCTATGACTAGGTAGTAGAATATAAAAACCAAGGCCGTATTTGTTTTCATTGTGTTTGGAAGAAAAGAATGAGGGCAAAGCATACAGAGTGGTAATGTGAGAAACCCCAATGGCGCCATAAATTAATCACGATGATATGACCAACAGGGCCAAATTATTTTACACCAAATACTGGAATCCTTAATGTTTGTCCTTGCATACGTTCCATTCAATCATCCAGTCTTTGGTGAAGAAACAGTTTGAAGCAGATCAGTGGGAGCCGTCCAGTTCAGTTTCAGATCAATGCTGCTGTACATATGGCACACACCGTAACCGGAGGGGGCCGGCACCCACGTGTTAGATTTAAACAGCTGGTACCGAGAGCTATGACAAAATGACAGCGGATAATCTTGGGGAATTTGGCTCGTTTTTATGACTGTGTGCAAACTGTTGGAGCTTGGAGTTCCTCCTGGTAAGAACATTAAAGGGGTCTTCATGGGGCCCGCCAGCCCAGTCCCCTTTGATGAGGGACAGTGTCCAGCCCACGTCCCCCTCTTTACTGCCACAGCCTCCCCCCTCAGCCCACTGTGGACCCCCAGCCACATCGACGACTAACGGCATCTGGCCCCTCCATCTCCAGCCTCCTCCATCGTATATATACCAGGCCTAATGGCCAATTACAAACTCAAGGGCCAGGGAACAGGAACATGGTCCCGATTTATAGTTACACTGTATCCACTGCCTCCCACCCCAGAATCCTCTGCTCCTGCTCCGTCGATCACTCCCACATTAGGTTATAGGAGACAGGAGGTCCATCAGACCTAATCAGGCTTATCCTTTCCAGAGGACGGCCATTAAGCCAGCCTCCCTCCTACCATGCCACGCCAGACATCAACTCCCAGTCCAGTGAATTAAACAAATTAATGGCTTCCTCACTTTTACAATTAAACTAGCAACAGCAAAAAAACTAGAAGAAAAAAAAAACGATGAAACCTCATTCTAGGAGCAAAGACTCTATTCCATGCCTCAGCTTGACCGAGCCAGAGCCAACTGAATTATAAAACAGTTATGAAGTCAGAATGGTATGGAATGCATGTATGCCTGATGTATTTTGTTTCAGCCTTTCAAAGCCTGGTTCATATTCTGCCTGGAACTCCCCATGCAGTCTAGAACTAGTAGGAGAGGACGGGGAAGAGAAGAGTTAAACAGGTTGCAAAAAGCAATTCTGCCTGGTCGTCCCTGACAACCCATTGCTTTTGCCCATTTTGAGCCCCTCTTCATTTGAGTTTCTCTTCTTCTCGTTTGACTTCTTATTTTCACTGGCTGGGTGTCCCCTCCTTTATTAGCTCCCCTCCCGCTTTCATTACAAACACAACAGTGTTATCCGTGTCAAATCCATTGGAGACGGCCTGAGGAAGTAAATACGGAGCCAATAGATTCTCTCCCTCCACTGAGTCACTAGCTCTACTGCTCTAGGCTAGACAGACAGAGGGAGAGGGTGAGCAGCAACCTGCTTCAAAACAGAAACATAGCGCCACAAATCTGTATCTTATATAAACCACATGTAGTGGAATATGTGATATATTCTGTGTATGTCCTAAGCTTTTCAGAATTGCTTTGCAAATCAGTATAGTAAAGGTTATTCAACATACAGTATACAAGGCTCTTTGCCACATAATGGTCTATTATACATTGCTTACACCAGTAATGATATTATGTGCATCACACATTAAACCTGTGAATGTGGTTTCACACATAAGGCTTCCCCATTTGTAAGAGGTGACATGTTTATATCCTAGCACATTGTTATTTCATTCCTCCAAACCAAATAAACTCTGGTTGAGGATGTTAAAGGCCTAGAGCCTCCATGTCTAAAAGAAAAGCTAGACACATAGAGAGAGAAATAATGAAACTCTGGAGTAGTCCTGGTAAGCTCAGAGCCACTGAAAAGAGGATTTTGTATAAACACGTTGATCTGCGTACTGTATTGAAGTGCTTAACAGACTGAGTGCAGACCAAATTCCTATGCAAGGCAGGCGGGAGGAACAAAACAATAGCACCTGACACATTTTAATCCTCTCCTTAAAGTACAACAAAAAACTGGGAAATATATTCACTGGAAAATGTAACATTATGACTACTGTTCCCTGAAGGAGGGAAATGAGGTACAACATACTATGGGGAGTTGCACTCTTGCGACTTCAGTTGAAGGATCAACAATCACGCCTGACAAGGCCAATGAAATGGAAGCCCAACCTTCCACAAGTGATAAGCGTGGGGCTCGGATTCATGCCTTTTGTTTTATTACCGCTCTTCACTGAGCACAGGAATGGCGGCGGGGGGACAAACAGGTGGTGTACCTCATTTCCCTCCTTCAGGGAACAGTAGTTATAGTCGTAACGTTACGTTCCCTTTCAGTCAGTCAACTTCGGTACAACATACTATGGCAGTCTGGGTATTCCGCACACGGCGCGCTGCTAAGTGACTTTCCCCTGTCCCAGCCATAAGCACCGTGTGGGCAACACTGGGAGCAGTGACATCCAAGTAATAAAACCTCACAAAAGTGTGTGGTGATGCCCAACTCGCCGCAGCACAAATATCTCCTATAGTCAACCCTTTAAACAACGCCCAAGTTGCTGCCAGACCCCTGGTGGAAAGGGTGCACACCCCGCTAGGTAACCCTTGCCGCTATATGCCAGGGAGATAGCCTCCACAATCAAGTGGGAGAGACGCTGTTTAGGGAGCACCCTGCTGTGAGCTGGATTAGCACAAAAGACAAAAAGATGGTCACAAAACCAAGTAACCCGGGTCCGTTTATTGTACGCCTGTAAAGCTAGCACCGGACACAGGGCATGTACTGAGTCAATGTGTGGGGGTACAGGTTAGTCGAGGTAATTTGTACATGTACCCCTACCTACATGTACAAATTACCTCGACTAACCTGTACCCCTGCAGATTGACTTGGTACCGGTACCCCCTGTATATAGCCTCGTTATTGTTATTTTATTGTGTTACTTATTTATTTATTTATTTTTATTTAGTTTATTTAGTAAATATTTTCTTAACTCTATTTCTTGAACTGCATTGTTGGTTAAGGGCTTGTAAGTAAGCATTTCACGGTAAGGTCTACACCTGTTGTATTCGGCGTATGTGACAAATAACATTTGATTTGATTTGATGTCACCGCTGTTGCTCTTCAGAAGCAAAAGGAGAAAGCAAAAAGGGAAATAGCTCAAAAGCTAAGGACCTGTAGGACATAGCCATGACTTTCGGTGGCGAAAGCCGCATTTGGACGCAACATCATCGTAGAGTCGCCCAGGGCGAACTGAGTACCAGATAACGCATGAAGGTCCCCAACACGTTTAGCCAAAGCCATGAGCAGGGAGGTTTTGTAGGAGAGGATCTTCAGATCCACCGACTCCAGAGGCTTAAAGTGGGCTGCACACAATGCCTCCAAAACCAGAGCAAAGTTCCTTGTGGGCGCAATAGGTTCAGAGACTGGTCTGAGACGAAGTACACCTTTCAGGAACAGCACAACCAGGGGATGGGCCCCCGGTGAGGCGACATCAATTCCCACATGACACGCTGAGATAGCGGCCATGTACACTTTTACCGTGGAGAATGCCCACCCCTGCTCGAAAAGCTCCTGTAGGAACATAAGGATGTCCCTCACAGAGCACTGAAAAGGAACAAGTTCTTTATCTTGGCACCAAAGCTCAAACGCTTGCCACTTATACGCATACAGCACTCTTGTGGAGGGCGCCCTTGCAGACAGAATGGTAGCAATAACATTCAGACGTAAACCTCTAGGTGTCAGATCCATAGGAACCGAATCTCCGGCCTTGCTTGCCAAACCTGCCTGTGAGCCTGGGACCACAGGTCCCTGCGCGACGGGAGTTGCCACAGGTCCCCACCTGAAAGACAAATTATCTCCACAAATCAAGACTGCCTGGGCCAACAGGGAGCGACAAGAATGAATGATAAGCACTCCCGGCGTGCCCTTTACAATGTGGATGAGAACTACTAGTGGAAATGTGTAAAGGAGGGTCCGAGGCCACTGGTGCGTCAGAGAGTCCGTTCCCAATAGGGCACTCGGGTCCCTCATCGAGAAGATTAGACACTTAGGCATTTCCTCGGGATGCATAAATATCTACGTTGGCCCTGACAGAAATATGTCCCATACCTGGGAGACCACCTAGGGGTGTAGCCTCCACTCCTGAGGGAGAGGGTCACACCTGGATAAAATATCTGCAACCGAGTAGAGGCAACCGGGGACATGCGTCGCCCAAAGTGAGAGTATGTGTTCACTGCTCCCCAGCAATAGAGAGCAAGCCAAGGTTAGGATGGAGAGAGACAGAGTCTCTACCCGTCTGTTGATGCATGGAATTTGGCTAAGCAGAGCTGGTACCCGGACACCCCCTCCGTGGGGATAGAGTCTAGCTCAACACCCAGAAACGGAATGCACTGAGGTGGAGTCAGACAGCTATTTTTCTGGTTTCTTATGAAGCCTAGAGACTGAATACAGGACAGTTGCATGTAGTTGAGGTGGCGATGTGGTGAGGTTGTGTTTCTCTAAGCGGGAGGTAAGCTTGGCTTCTTCTTTATATGGTGTCGAGTAAAGCTTAAACCATGTATTTAGATTGTAGGTAGGTATTGTAGTTAGGTATTGTAGGTAGTTTATCTAGGTAGTTATTGTAGGTGATTATTGTAGGTACTGTAAGTATTGTATTCGGATGAGCCCGGTGAAGCACGAGGCTAGCTAACCCACTACCTGGACCAATAAAGCTAGCTAGCTAGCGGGTAGCTACTGGTAACTATCAGCAACTGTGGATAGTTGTTTCCAATGTTATTTCATGCTTAAGAGTACCTGTAATTATGCCAGCTAGGTTTTTCTAACCTCATTATCTGAAGCGTTAACGTTAGGTAGTTAGTAGCTACTGTACTCGAAATGTAGCTAGCTTGTTGCTACCTGGATAGCTTACTAAACAATAGCTGGAACGACCTAGCTGTAATGTTTGGAGACGCTTTCTCTCCGTTGGGACAGACGCAAACTGGCTAAATCGATTCAGTAGCTAGATTTACACTTAACTAGTTAACAGTAGCTACTAAGGGTAAGTTATAACCTACATTTATTTAAAAAATAAAAGTACATACTGGTAACCAGAGTCGTTCAAGAGGAATTCAAGACATGGGTGACTAGTTAACGTTAGCTTGGCTCTCTCTGTGCGTTTCATACCGTGGGAGGAGGGGTTGGTTCGTTGACAGACAGCAATGGCTAGCTAATATGCTAACTATTCTAGCTAGCTAACTAACTGGCTGAATAAATTGACGACGTACTCCCTCAAACTGTCAAAATTAACCCCAAAACTTTACACAACGTTAGACACGGACACGAATGATCTGTTTAGCGTGTTAACACACTATTGGTAGTTTGTTGTAACCGAGTATTGGTGCTAAACCGTGTTATTGGAAGCTAGCATGCTAGTTAGGTATGGCGTCATAGGATATGGTGCCCTGGGCGGTTTTCATGGAAGAATACTGTACCAAGTTAGCTAGCTGAATAAACTAAGTTAGAGTCTATTCCTAGAAAACATTGAACCGCTGTAGTTTAAAACAATTAT